GAGCACGCACGGGTGGAAGGACTGACCAGGATATGTGGTGCGAGGGAGGCTTAATTCGTCAAGAGTGGAGGTACCAATTTTTTCTTATACAGGTACGTTTCCCACGTCGTACCCACACTACATCACTGCATATCCCATGTCATTCCTCTCCTGAGCATTTGCGTCCAAAACACCCTCGCCTCGCACACCTCGCTCTTTTTTGTGTTCCAGTTCCCACTATACAAGGGCGGATCCCGTCAAGGGGCAGAGAGAGGGGGGACGGGGCATGAATGGGATGACCCATATTCGGATCGCCGTCAATGAGGCTGTCCTGGATCAGTATCACGTCGCTGGATGCAGCATTCGACAGCCGCTCTCTCTCTCTCTCTCTCTCTCTCTCTCTCTCTCTCTCTCTTTGTATGTGTTCCCCGCAGTGATTACGTGCGACAACAATAGCTGCTCCTCTTCATACCCCAGTCTCCATTTTCTTGTCCCATTTGCACGGGAAGGTGAAGGGGGTCGGTTCAAGTGACATCGGCGGTGGCGGCAGGCTGGGGGGTGTGGATACTGCGGCCTACCATTCCCAGCTGCTCGACACAGCGCGCCCGTTTGGGACTGTCCCGCCCTGGACCATTGCTATCGTGTAGGCGAGCGGAAACACCCGACTTCCTTGCACCTTGGACTCGGGCGCCGAACATAGGGGGATTGCGGTAGGGAGGTTAGTAGGTAGAACATGAGGCAACCAGGCAAGCAAATTTGGGGAACTATGAGCAGAGACGGGGAAAGGCAGAGATAGATACGGACAGGGTTGTCGATTTTTATGCGGTATCTTTGTCTATAAGCGGCAAGGGCGTCTCCCCTCCTTGCCTTGACCTCATGTCTCATGTCTCTCTCTTTCGCGCGCGCGCGCGCTCCGTCCTTGGCGACCGTCCCTGCCCCAGTCTGTCTCTTTGTTTTTATTTTTGGTCTTTTGCTTTCTTCCTATTTTGCGTTGTATGCGGATAGTCGGATGGACTATGAGCTTGCGACACCTTCCCCGCCAAACTACCCTTACCTTGTCGTCCGGCGAGGTTTCTCCTCTGTTGTGGCCAAGCCTGCCTGTCCTGGACCCATGCTCTGCCGTCGTGTGTTCGGTCCGGTTCGGCTAAGTCAAATGAAGGTACTAGGGGAAACATGTGTATGGATTTGCGAGTGTGCCTGTGCCGCTCTAGGTATCTGAGTTGTTTGTCCCATCTACTGGACGACACGCGGGCAGAAGACGGTTAGTATCCGTACAGCTTTCGTGATTGGACCATCTCGTCTCTCCCTCCCCCCCGGTCGTGCCGGGCCCAGAAAAGACACTTCCCGTCGGTTTTCTCATCACAAGTGTGTCATGGTCTATCTCTCTGTCTCTCTATCACTCTTTCCTTGGGTTTTCCTTGTTTACTGCATCTCGATTTGCGTATGAAAGTCTGGCTGTGAACTCGCCGCACACAGAGAGATACTCGCTGATCAGGTTCCACAAGCAACGTCATGTTGCGTGGAAGAAACGCGAGGAGTGCAGCTGCGGCCTGCATATCTATCTCCTCGTGTGATGGAGGGTGTTGGAGTGGGTGTTTGTCTGAGGGTTTTTGGAACCCCGTCAACGCCAACAACAGGGTGGAGAATATATAGAGTTTACAACAGTCGTGTCATGCCGCTTCTTCCAAAGCTGCCTCGGTAAGCTTGGTATAGGAACCTCGACTGTTGCATCTGTCTGTGTCCTGTTGATAGTGAGAAGCATGACTCGACACAACTGATCGGCAGCGCCTATGCTGTCCAAAGTCTGTCCTGTCTCTTCCAAATTCATATCGACCTATCTCATATCAACCTCTCTCATACAACTTACCTCGAGTGGCTCCTTGTTTATGCATAATGCAAGAACCGAATCTCTGCATCGTGGTCCACGAGCCAACTAAAAAGACTTGCTTTGAAATGTTCATCGAATTCTTGGTTTCTGCGTGCCTGGATAGGAATCTCCCTTCGTCGGCTACGTAACTATGCTTAAACATGAAAAGTCCATATTCACATTCGTTTTAATTCCATCCCAGAATGTGTTGTGGTGTGTATCATCCCCCATCCCCAAAAGAGTCTAAAACCGCCCAATGGTTTGTTTGTGCCCGGAACAAAAAACAAAGTAAAAGAACAGGAAAAAGAAAAAGAAATGCCATCCCAAATTCCTATACAGCGCCTCTCTTTCTCCAGGGTTTCCAGTAAACAGAACGTTAAAAAGACAAGAAACAGCTATGGTTGAGTTGATAGTGCAAGAATCCACCAACCTGGTTCCCATGCACCACCCAGTATATGTTGATTGAATCAGAGTCAAGAGAAAGGGAAAAGGGAAGGGGGAAAAACGTGAAGAACAAGAATACAGACCCGGGCCTAAAAAGGACGTGCACTCCCCGCCCACCTGTGAAATGCCACGACAATGAACCAACCCCGTTTTGTGTTTAATCTACTAAAAAGACCATCCAGGCAAAGTGTGAGTCTGTTTGGATTTTTCTGAAGAGGACCCCCATCCCATTCCAGCTAGAATGAAACTCCAGTTCGGAACAAAGAAGGAATGTAAGGACGACAAAAGCCAATAAACGAAACCCAGGGCCCGGGGCTTGAAGGATGTGGACAAGTGAGAGCATAACTGCCTCCCTCAAGATCCTTGGACGGCAACACAGCCACGAAGTTCAGGGTAACGTCGAATAAAGTTTTCATCGAGACGCCAGTTTTCGATGCGCATTGCGTGCGAGGTGAACGTTTCGCTCAGCCACATCTCTCCAGATTGCGGGTCGACTACCAAAGCGTCAATTGGTCGGCACGGCCAGTTGATAAGCCTTAGGCTGGCCGAGTAGACGGATTGAAACTCTTCATTGGCGTACACCTCCTGCCGCTCAATAAGTGCAGTGCGCAGAGGGGCCCAGAGTACAAGGTCGATCCACTGGGGGTGCGGAATGCTGGTTTGGCAAGGCTTTGGCGTGAGTTCCCGTACAATGGCAGCATACGCGTCGCGCGTTGGGTGTACCAACCAGGCAACGGCCTTTTGAGTGATGGCGAAAACTGCGAGACGCTCAATGACATTGGTAACGCCTGCCGTGTTGACAAGAGCCGTGATTAGCTCGGCAATAGGGTGGTTGACGCCTGGCCCCGTGATTGCTGTGGAGGCGGCTCGGTCAAGGTCGGCTAGCTGGCACCGTGGAGGTTGCGAGGTGGGCGAGGCCGGGTGGTACTCAAGAAAGTTCTTCACGTTGACCCTGGTAGGCCGTAGGATGTTATCGAGGGGTTTCAGTTGAGCCAGTCGGCGGCAGTCCTGAATAAAGCCAACAATCAACTGGTCGATTCGACATGTGGGTGGGACAATGAGCGTCGGGACCTCCCAAAGGATGGTGCCGGGCCGGCGGATCAATGAGCCGACGGTTGTTGATAGTACACTGGAGTTGGGTACGAGTTCCACGACTGCTGGTGATGAAGATACGATTGATGATGATGAGACATGGGCACCTGTTGATGATGGCCTATTGAGTGGTTGTGAGGATATCCAGCGTCTAGGAGCTGAGTGGTTAGCGTCTCAGAATTGCGTTGCAACCCAACCACCGCATGCAGGGGAGATCACCCACCAGAGTCAACTTCGTCGTAATCCATCTTGGCGGGGATGCTTCGGGCGTCCATCATTGGCGCAGGAACACTCGTGGGGATGTAGCCAGTGCCGTACTCGTCTGTGTTGGCAGAAGATGACGGACTCGAGACGGTGGAGGGCACGGAAACGGGGATGCCTGGGCCCCATGACTCTGAGGCATCCGGCATGGGCACGTAGGAGGGGCCGAGTTCTTGCATCACGTTGTAGTCACCGTTGGAAGGAAACGGTGAAGACCTTGGGCTTGGGACGGCCCCGCTGATAGAGCTGAGGTTGTCGTCGTACACTGGGGCCGAGTCAGCACGAACGAGAGGCAACCACGCAGAAGACGAGGCGACTGAGGAGGCAGCCATACCTGAGTTTGGGTAGGACTGCCCATTGGGAACGCCCATGCTCTCGCGGAGCTTGAACAGTTCCTCTTCAAGGGCCTTGTTCTTGCGTAAAAGCTCCTGGACGGTCTGACTCTGGTCGCGCCCACGTTCGCTCTTGAGCTCCTCAAGCTCGCGCTCGAGTCTCTCAATGTGCTCCTTTGTCCTGGCTCTGATGGCCCGCTGAGCTTCTCTGTCATTGGCACGCTTGCGCGCCAGCTGGGAGGGCGTCAAGGTTGAGACGCTTCTGGTGCCTGTTTATGAAGAGGCGGCCAAGTCAACATAGTGTCCGTACACGAAACAACGAAGGGGAAGGGAGGTGTTGAGGGGAGTGGAGAAGGGCTGGAGAAGGAACGGTCGAGGCGGCAACAACAGAGGCGTGAGGTGGTATACGACCTCGTCGTCGTCGTCATCTCCGTCCCTTGAGGAAATCAAGTTGATTATGCGTACCCTTGCGCTTGGTGGGCTTCGTAGGCTCTGCGGAGGCTGATCGCGTCATGTTGTCGACGGGGTACTTGTCGTGTTGTGCAACAACGGTAGTGGTGACAGATCTTGTTCGAGTGTTGGCAACGGCAGTATGGGCCATACTCTAGATAAGAAGACGGGAGGAGAGTGAAGATATATATTGAGCGGCAAGTTGGAGTTGCTGTTTGTTCGTGGTACGAAAGCAAGCATTGAATCCAGAGGGTCAACTGGCAGCGCATCTGGAGTTATAAGATCTATTAACAACATGAGCAGACGCAAGAACAGGGCTCCCAATGCCGGCGGCAAAGTAGTTTCAGGGCAGCTGGGAGCGATGGATGGGGGGAGGGGGGGTAGCAGTACAGTGGTACGTACATTCGAGGGGGAACATGGGTCTAGGGGAATGAGTGTGTACTACTGTATACGTACACTAGGTATACTGGGATGAAGAGAAGGGTCAGTGACTTCTGCAAAGTCAGGATGAAGAGGCGGGAAGAGTGTGTGGTGGGGGGGGAGAAGGAGGAAGGAGGGAGACTCAACGAGACCAAATGGGTACGTACCGGACGGCCAGACCCAAGGGACTGACTTGCACATAAGGTAGGCAAGTCTGGAGCAGGGGTTCGAGAGATGGCTGCATTCGGGCTAGCATGTGTAGCGAAGGTAGCCCAGTTATGAGGGTAAGGACGTGGATCACAGGAGCTGCGAATGGTAGGTATGTAGTTTGGAGAGGGTAGAGAGCAACAGAACAGGGCAGATAGATGTGTACAAGTACACTCTGTGCTCGAGTACCGTTTATTATTATGATGATTGTTATTATCAGTGTTATTTTTATTTTTTATTTTTTATTTTTTATTGCTCGGATAAGGGCCAAGTATCGGTGAAGAGGCAGAGAAAACGAGCGCGGGTGTGAGTGAAGGAGTGAAAGAGTGAAAGAGTGCGAGAGTGCGAGAATGCGAGAGGGAAAGAGAGAGCGAGAGAGAGAGAGAGACGTAACTTGGCACATGACAGTTGATGTTAGGTGCAGACACGGCGTAAATTGCTAACCCACTTCAAGAACAACTTACAGATCTCTCCAGGATGGGGCTCGATGGGTGTGAGCAAGGGTCTACACAGAACAGAACAGGACAGACGGTGCAAGGAACATGGAAGAAGGCAGGCAGGACAGGGGGCATGGAAGACCAAGGTACGTACCATAGGGTGGAGAGAGGCAGCGGACAGGTACGTACCGAGTCGGGGGTGGCAGGCAATGTACCTCCCCAAGGCTAGATACAAGTACTTCCCTCGCCCTGGACGGGGGGTGAGGTGGGAGGTAAGGTGATGTGGGGGTGGTGTGCCATGATAGGATGGGAGGGGCGTGTTTCTGTTCATTCCGAGGCACCTACCTTACGTTTAGAAGATGCAGAAGACGTATGAGATGCCTTACCTTAGGTAATGAGATGGGCCACCACACGCACGTTTGCCCCAAGTTACGGTGCGTCACCTTTTCTGCGCTACACCCTTCTGCCGAATGGCAAGAAACAGCAGCTGCAGTCGTGGGATATCCGTGAGATCAACTCGGACTAAGGAGGACCGGATGCAAGCCTGAGGCATGCAGCCGCTGCTCCTCGGAAATCGTCTTGTGTCTTGTCTTGTAACCGTATTTCAGTTACGCCGCGTCGCGCACAATGTTGTCGGGGGAAATGGGTCACACGTCTCGTAGCTGGTAGCAGTTGAGGTGGGCAAGCAACATCCCTTGTTCTGGTGCGAGCCCGATTTGGACGAAGGGTTCCCGGTGGAGAGTTGCTTATCCGTAAGGAAAGGCTATCTATCACATGGTTAGTCAAGTCATAGGGCAGGCATTGGGTTGGGAATACAGATGTGCTGATCAAAAGTGACCGAACGGAGGGCGACTGGGCTAATAGTAAGGCGAAGGAGAAACGCAAGACAGGGCAAGGCAAGCTATAGTCCCTGCAATGGAAAAGGCACCCACATGCCTACCTGCCTGCCTTGTCGAATCTGTTGCAGAATGGCACCGCCAAATTTCAGCGCGACTCCTCACATCCTGCACTGGATCGTGCGTGCCCTTGTCAGTGGCCAGGCTATGTATCTCTGCCCTCCCATGCCATACCCTGTCCGCTTCTTCCAAGAAAGTGTGCAACGTGGTGAAAAGATACAGAGGCCTGTCCCATTGGAGTTCGCCCATCGCGCCGGCCTCTGGTTGCTTGGGAAAGTGGAGGTGTGGGAGAGGCCGCCTGCAAGGCGAGTGACGAGAGAGCGGCTTGTACTTTCACTGCAAGTCGACAAGCAGCGGCAAACAGTAACGAGCGGCGGCAGCACCAGCACCAACACCAGCAGTGGTAATAATGTCGGGCCCCGTTTTTGCTCGGAATAGCCATACCCATGCCATGGCCTGTGTGTCCCTTGAGACTCCCAAGCCTAACGGTAACGTAAGGAAGACAGGGTACCGGTAACCTCCAGTCCCCATCTCTTCTCACAACCGTACAGATATTACGCTGATGGGGGGGCGGTTTTGGCCCGACACAAACAACACTGTGCCGCAAGTCCGCGCCACGCCTTCCCTTACGGCAAAGCCATGCCTAGCAGGGCAAAGACACATGGGCATCAACTTTGTTCGAGGCTCAGCACTTCTTCTAAACCGGTTGCTGCATGTCTAGTTGTAGAAGGTTTCGGCCACACTCCGATGACCGGGGTGGGATAGAACATTACGAAATGAAGCTCTAGCTATCAATCAACCCCTTGCGGGGTCTGAAGACGAAGAAGGACGAGGATACCAGCGCCAAACGCCACGCCACAAACGGTCAGCATTTCGCAGGCGTGCGGCCGTGGCCGGGTAGTGCGCGCGCGTGGCCAGGGATGTCGGCCCATAGCAGATACCGTCTGGTGTGGGTGTGAGTGAGCGGTAGTGGTAAGAGTGAGGAGAATGGGAGAGAAATGAGTTTGGGACGTCCGAGTGGATATGGGCGCCTGCACGATCTCCATATCCCTCTGTTTCTCTCCCTCTCTCTCTCTCCTTCTCTCTATTTCTTTTTCTTTATTTCCTTCTCTCTCACTTTCTCACACACGCACACACATACACGCGGTTGATAAGCAGAGACAGTTCGGCCTCTCTTATGGGGTGAAGTAATGTAAATGTGAGGCGATGAGGTCAGTCGGGGCCTTGGAGAAAACCGTGGGAAAATAAAATGGGTGGAGAAAGACACAGGAGAGGTCGGACATACCCCCTTGCGAGAAATAAACTTTGCGCTAAGTGACAAAATGGCCTAGTTTCGTGGGTGACCATACGCGGCCCACCAGCAACAGGAAGCAAAGTGTACTAGTACGGATACATAGTACTGGAAGGAGGGGGTGGGTGGAAAGTGGATATGTATCAACCAGCCGAGAAGGGGGAAAGGAAGCGGATTGAAAAAAAAAAAGGGTCGAGGCAGGCAGTGCCTCCCACTCTTCCGCCTTTTGTCCACCACCGGTACGTATCTAACTGCCGTGAACCATCGTCTTAGCACCATGCGAGATGCCCAGAAACTTGCTCCCACATCTGTTCCTGCTCCTGCTCCTGCTCCTGCTCCTGCTCCGGCCCCGGCGGCCAGCCCGACTGCTACTATGTCTTCCTTCCCACCACCCCCTCCCCCCCCGCCGTAACACGCTTATCCGCATCTAGAGGGACGAAGTTTAACATGCGCATGGTTGGATGGCTGCAAAGCAGTGTGTGTGTGTGTGTGTGTGTGTGTACGTCAACAGTACGTAGTGGCTGGCGCAGGACGGCTTCTTCCTTTGCACTTGACGTTGATGAGCCTAAGGTCGGAAGTATACAAACGTAGGAACCACCTTGGGAAGAGGAGAGACGGCGAACTCAAATACATGGTCTGGCGTCATTTAGCGTCGGCAGCCAAAGGGGTGCTGCCCGTTGCCGCCGGCTCTTCTTCGCAAGACCGAGTAGAGTGGCAATGTTTCTTCGTCCTACAACCACCTCCGTTGAGATGGCCGACTAGGTTGGCTACAGGGTATATCAAGTACTATTGTGTCCTCTATTCCGAGGTCTTCCAGCACGACGAGGAGCATAGTGACTTGACGCTGGTGGTTTCATTGGCATGCTCGACGTGAGCCAGCCCTTCTAGCCGCCCGGCCAGGAACAAGGTTAGCAGTAGCACTTGAGTGATGGTCGGTCGCCCTATGCCTACGGAGCCAATGCTAGAAACTTCTTGGCAAATCCGCTCACTTGTCCGACTGCTCAAACTCCTCGTTCAAGTAGCAAGGCCGCAATGGCAATTCATCGACGCTGAAAGACCCATCGTCTTTGCAATTAGAAATGCTAAATTGTCGGTGCCGAGCCGCGCATGGCCTAGGCTTCCCGGCGGCTCGACCGCTCGGGCGGCGAATGCCTCGGTGTCTTCGGGGTTCCGTTGGCTGTCGCTACACACCATTTATTTTCTCCGTTTTCCGCAATTGGCGACACAACTTGCAATGAGAGGTATGGAGACGGCCGTAATGTGCGCTGCCTGGGCGACCAGATGGCGTGTCTGTCATTCCTGATGGTCGGGCTTAATTCCGGTTGTCCAATCATGTAGAAAGTCGCTACTGAACTACCATTGCAAATCCTTTCCCTTTGGTTTCTTGTTTTCGCTAGATGGAATGCAGGCTGATGACGGGCTATACATAGCGCACCCTGGTGTGTGTCTCTCTTCCTGCCTCCTATGGCCGTCGAGATGAGAATCAGCGGGTTCTCCCTACTGCGGGATGGGACTCGGCGTCATGGCTTAATTCCAGCTTCACGACCCCGCCTGTCCGCCCTTCAGATAAGCAAGTTCCAGTTAAGCTCTAGTTCAGCGCAGCAAGCGGTCAGCGGCTCGCATAAACATTCGCTCGAGATGCAGTTGGTAGATCCCCGTAACATATGTTATGCATGCTCGCGGCCAGATGAAGGCCTGTCTTATTAGCAATCGCGAGCTCGCTGCTATTAGGTCTGTACGTAGGCTGCGCTGTCTGCGTCCCCGCTTCCTAGTTTGTTTCGGGGGTTTTTTTTCGTTCGTCCAATTTTTTTCAGTTGAATTCTTTTGAGAGGGGGCCCTCCGAGAACCCGGCGTGGTGTGGGTTTCGTATATGTGCTCGATGGCGATGCGGCAGCATCTCTCCGACCGCGTGGAGGGCTTTTCGGAATACTTTGGCTCTTCTCTGGGTTCTGCAGCGCATCATTTGGTCGGATTCATCCTGCGATCGTCTCATGTTACTTCACGTCGGAGAAAGGAGGAGTACTGTCCATGATGCATCCTTGCCAACGAGTAGGCAAGTTGCCATGGTAGGATACTGTCATGGCCTTGAGGAGGCGAGAAAGGGGGCGTGTCGCCGAGTTGGAAGTATGCTTCACCAAAGTTTCCAAACAGGCGGGACTGTGGCGTCCGGAGGTTCCCTCATTCAATGTTTCCGTCTGTTGATGGTTGTTCTCGCCAAGCATGGTCTCATTTGAATGTCAGTACGCGTATACCCCCAACCCGTCAGCGACGGTGCTCGCTCCAATGGTGGGGAAATGTTCCGATCGGTGGCTCCTCCTTCCTTCCTTTTCTCTTCTCCTTTTGCTAATGTCGTTTGCTTTGCATCCTTCCGCCGCCCGGTCATCGCGCATTCCAATCGGTTTAGTCGTGCAAGGCGTCGTCCCGATGAACCGAGGCTGCAGGTATGTAATCTCATGGGGTCTTTGTTTGGTTCGTGGTATGTCATTGGCGTTCGGTTTGACTGGCGAGGGGTTCGGACACGGCGAAAGGCGTCGAGGGTATCAACAAAGAGAGCATCCGGAATCAGCGATTTTAAATTATTTCGGGGTGGGCTTAGCCACCATCGAGCCTGGGGTATATGAGCGCCTGATAACAGCCGTCTCATCGGAGCAATATACAGTTCTGGATTTTAGTCAAATTTGTCAGTTCTGACTCAGAGAGCCGATTATTGTCTGTTTCGTTTCCTCGGGATACAACAAGACGGCGGTTGAGAGGCTCCATTCGAGTAGGGCCTGCAGTAGGACCTGCAGGGCCAGGTGCGAAGGCCAGCGCAGTGCCAAGCCTGTGACGGAAGAACCCATCCGTCCATGGCCTCAAGGCTGGCCAGCTGAGGAGAATGTCTGGCAGTGCCGTGAGGTACTGTGGACCCTACGAGTACACGAGCAGAAGCTAGGTACCTAGGTCCCAGGACAGGACACGCTAGCAGCCCAGCACAGACCACTTTTCCCATGAAGACTGGCCAATCATTAATCGTTCAGATCGGAGCGCATCTCGTTCCGGAAGAGGGAAAAGGGTGTGTAGGTAGCTTGGCATATCCGCGCCTGTGGTGTTGGCACCGGCAGTGGCTGATCCCTACAGTACACTAGAGCGCATGGGACGCAGTGGGCGGACTCTTTTTTCCCTTGCAAGATCCGTCTCGTGCTTGGATACAAATACAAGGCGGTCTGGTCGCTCTTAATGTCGCAGATACGCAACAATAGTGTAAACCTCACGTACACCTACCATGTATACGCGTTTCTACAATTCTGCATGTCTGTCACAATCGGTATCCATGTCTTTTGAAAGAAAGGAGGGGGGGGAGGGGGGATGACCCTCCTATCCAATGCAGCGTGATCAAAATCTTGTTTATTGTTGCGAGCGTGGAAATATCGCAAATGCCGCCGGGGTATCACTTCGTCCCAAACCCAATAGAATTGGATAGGTGGGGTCAATCGGTCCGTCCGGGACCGTTGTTAGTCACGGTACGTGGTTTATCGCTCCAGCCGATAGATAACCCTCAGGATATTTCTAGGTTCTCTTCTTTGACAGCCTCGACGAGCTCCTCCAGCCCACCGACCTCCGTTGGTCCGTTCATGCCATCCGGGGGGAGGGCCCATCCGGGCATCGGACTAGTGTACCCCCATGCGCCTCCGGCGTCTTCGTATCGGAGACTGTGAAGCCAAAGTGAAAGTTCGTGTGCGCCGGGATCCGTGTAGAGTGGCGTGTCGCACACCTCGCAGTTTTCGCCCGACAGCTTCTCAGCCCGTCTCTTTGCGTACAAATCCACCATTTCGTCGTGATATGCTACCGCGTCGGCAATATCCTGCTTGCCCATGCGTTCCAGGCGTGACATGATGTCTTCGTCCGTGTTCTCAACTGCATCAGAGTCGTTGCATCCCAAATTGATGCCCCAGACACGCTGGTTTGCATACAAAGGATCATTCTGAATCGGGTGCCCAAGAAATTGCAGGTGCACGCGAATTTGATGCGTTCTCCCCGTTAAGGGCAAGCAGCGGACAATCGAGTAGCCCTCCTTCTTGATCCAAGGCCGACGTTTCTCCTCTGCGAGTTGTTCCGGGGTTTTGGGCTGCTCCATTGGCAAGGCATCCTGTTTGTCCGGCGGGTAGTATGCCAAACGCTTGAAGACCGTGCGAGCCGATTTTCCATTGGCGCGTACTCTATTGAGTCCTAGCCGTGGGGATATTTGCAGGATGGGTTGGTCGCAAACAACTTCACCATCAGGAAATTTTCCAGCAACACGAGCCAGATACTCCTTGCGTACCGTGTGAGCTCTGATTTGCGCAGTGAGCTTTACGGCGGCCTGCGGCGTCTTGCCTATGAAAAGGATGCCACTTGTGAGGCGGTCCAGGCGATGGCACGGGTACGGCAGAAAGTGCTCACCCCTCTCAGCTTTCATGATTTCGATGAGTGAATTGTACTTGTATCTGCCAGCAGGATGTACAGGCACACCAGAAGGCTTGTCCACAACAATCATCTCATCGTCTTCGTGGATGATACGAATAGGTTCCCCGGTGACAGGAGGCTCGTGGCGATGAATGGTGTGGTTTACCAGATCCCCGTTCTTGACAACATGGTCCGGGCCAACCGCCTTCCCGTTGACGACAATGGCTCCGGTTTCCATGGCATGGCGATAGTACTCTAGGGTGCGGTCCCGAAACTCGTCCTCGAATATCTCGATTAGCTTCCGGCCTCGCCATCGCTCCTTGGCCCAGGTGTGGTAGGTAAAGTGATAGGGAGCGACTCTACGCAGGCCGTCCTCGAAATAGTATGGGCGTGGCCACATGTCGCCAGTGGGAGTCGTCAGCACGTCAGGCAGCTTCTCAACGGCCTCAGGTGGCACAGGATCCGACAGCTTGGACGCAGCAACGCCGGCAGCAGCTGGCACCGGGACCAGATCTGTCATCGACGCTGTTTTTTCGGAAGCCATGGTAGAAGAAAGGGAATCTGGTCGAAGTGATAGTCGTGCCAGAGGCGTGACCGCGCGCCGAAGGGTAGCCAGGGTTGAGGGACAGGGTGAGGAGCAGAGAAGGGTGGATAGCTGAACTGAAAGAAATTTGTCTATCGGCAGGGCTGCCACGTTTTGATAGGTCGCTTGCAGGTCGTCCCCTCAGATCTGAGATTTTCCAATATACTTAGATCCGCGAGGTTGGTGGTGATAGGTCCGAGAAGGAGGCACAAAAATTGATGGCGGTCAGACCTGGCAGAACTTTGCTTAGGTTGGGTTTTGACAGGCACAAGCTCGCTCAGGCAGGTTGGGTTGGAGACAGGGTGATTGGTTCCTGGACTCCCCAGACTTCCCCCATCTTGTGATTACATAAGCCGGGCAGCAGCATCCGTCTTATGTAAGGCATTGATCTGGCACGGGCCCAATCGGGTCTACCCACGCATTCGACCCATTCAGCGTCTCCCTGTGCCTCGGTTTGGGTAGGAGATTTGCGTTGCCCAGCCCAGTCCGCAGCCGATTTCTCCGCACGCTTTAGTGCAAAAGCTATGAGAGCTTCTTGTGCTTGGGGCCTTGCTTCGAAGGGTTTAAAGGAATGTGATGAACCGTAATTCAAGAGAAGTACCGGCGACCGCGACGTACCTTGTTGCTGTCAAGAATCGTATCTCTTACCTTCATCCTACTCTACCGTACCGTTCCAGATCAATACACTGTCGACTGTGACAAGCTTCAGGGCATCGGACGCTTCTTTTTCGTTCGTCATTTACATCAAGACGCCATCATGACGAGCTATGCCGAGCTAAAGCAGCGTCGGAGGGAGGACTATCGCTACATGCTGGACTACCGGACGCGGTGGTAGGTGACCCCTTGAGGGGAGTTGTGCCAACGTGTATCCATCATCTTCACATCATCACACTTCACTCTTTCCGTGTTTCCATTGGCATTTCTCTCGGGGGTTGATGCTTGAGCAGTCGATAACGAGGTTTTTTCAGGGCCGATAATGATATGTACCAGCACATGAACAACAGCATCTACAATTTTCTGTATGCCTTCCCTCGAACCAGCCAATGTGCTTACGCGGTGTCCGGCTAAGGAGTGATCTGCAGATACGATTCGGTCGTCAACACATACCTGATTGAGCACTGTCGTCTATCGCCTGCAGGGTCTAAGCAACACGGCGTTGTGGTGCACTCGCACAGCGACTACTTTGCGTCCATCTCCTTCCCTGCAGTTGCCGAGTTGGCGCTCCGGGTGAACAAATTGGGCAAGTCCAGCGTGACATATGAGATTGCTCTTTTCGAAAAGGGAGTCGACCAGGTGAGAGCAGTTGGGGAGTTTGTGCATGTCTTTGTCGAGAGATCTACTGGCCGCCCAACCGCATCTGGCATGACGGACGAAATGCGGAGGGGGCTGGAGCGAATTCAGGTGGTGGAGGCCAGGGAAAACAAGCTCTGAAGTTTGAACTCTATCACCCACCCACAGGGCGGACTGGAGCTTATCTCTTGGCTATCAATGTCTCGTCCATTATTGCAACTGCAGCTTCTGGACCGCACCATCCTTTTCACCACTCTTGAAAATCTTCTCAAGGAGCTCGAGGTCGGCCAAGGCCTCCTCGGGAGACTGCAACGGGTTCGGCCTCCCGGCCACCAAACCTTCCGCCCATGCCTTGACCTCTTCTTTGACACCACTCGTCTGCTCGAACTGGATCGTCCGTGCTTCGCCATCGAAAAGCTTGACAGTGAGGTCATGGCCCGACAGGGTGACACTGCCTTTCTCCCCCGCCACCTGGAAATCGAATGCGCTCAAAGATGAGCCGACGCTGACAGCAAATGAGCCCGTGGCGCCCGATCTGGTCCTAATGGCAGCATTGATGGTGTCGATGGGGGGCAAGTGCTCCTGGGTCAGGTCCGAGAAGGCGGCAACCGAGTCCGCCGCCGCCTCCTTGCCGAGTAGCAGCCGGAGCGCGGCTGCAAAGTGGACGCCACCGTCGAGAAGGAAGCCACCCTGGTAGTCTGGCTTTTTACGCCACGTTGTCTCGATGTATTTGCCACCCAGCTGCACGTAGAAGAAAACCCTTACGTTGAAGCCGATGATTTTGCCCAGTGTCTGCACCTCATCCCGTGCCGCAGTGTAGCGGGGCTGAAAACGGTAGTTCTCGGCGACAGCGAAGGTAACACCCTTTTCAGCAGAAACCTTGTTGTAGTAGTCGATCAGCTTCTGAGCGCGAGCGACGTCGGGGGCAATGGGCTTCTCGGCCAAGACGTGCTTGCCAGCAGCGAGTGCTTTCTCAATGTATTCGGGTTGATTGACAATGGGCAGGGCCAGGATGAGGGCCTGGATGTCGTCGCGGGCAAGGAGGTCCTCGAACGACTTACCGTCGCCCGAGTCGTCGGAGTACAGGTCGGGCGACGCGGAATTGGTGGCGAGTTTCGCCGTATCCTCGGCGGACTTGCGGGACCGCGAATAAATGGCCTTGAGTGTGAGTTGGTCGCTCGCTTCCACGGCCGGCTACTCGGGTTACCGTCAGTGTGACCTTGAAAGTCCTAGACACCTCGCTTTTTACTTAACCAAGACAAGGCCTGTGGGATGCTTTACCAGATGCTGTTCCTTGGCAAAGATGCCACCGCCAACAATAGCCACTCCGATAGGGGCCATGATGCTCGACTCTCAGTTATGCTACCGACTTTGTGAAGTATGATGGTGGATTATTCTCTGCGTTGGGTGAGAGACTCTCGCGAGGCGTTGGTTTATTTGTGAGCGATTTGCAATATCCAGGCTGGTGCTGGATCGACCATAGTATCTTGAGCCAGGCGTACGCACAATATGCCATCATAGTGGGGTTTGCTGGCGGGGTTTAGCATTTCAGTGACACAACTGCCCCGCAACTGATCGGATGGTTTTGTGCCGCACTAACTTGACGTAGCGTCGAAAAGCAGAATGTTTGTTAGTGTTCTGTTATGTCGAGAGATCGGTAGGTACCTACCTAGATAAGGCAACTAGCTACTTGGCAGCTTGGGCAAGAGCCTTTCTAGGTAGGAACCACCATATGTATCTCGGTATCATGTCATTCTTGATAGCAATCTTGACCGTGGTTCCTGATACGCCAACACCATGTCTGTCGGTATACCTTCTCTAACCCTCTATGGCTCGTAACCCAAGAGACAAAAATCTAGCAGCTATCACCAACTAGTTACCTGGGTAGCTCATCACATACCGAGACACAACGACTGCCTTTGCAGCCGCGAGCCACCTTTCCTTTTCACTAGACCAAGCTACCGGTCGTCCTAACTGCTTCTTCACCTTCACTATCGCTGCTGGTGTCGTCCAGCCGATCCAGAGCCCGCTGGCACTCATTGTCCCATTTGCTGAACCCAACAATGACCCATTCCAGCGCTCCGACCAAGTACAGGGCGACGCATTGTCCAACCCACAACCCCGCGAGGCCCCATCCGTTGAAGGCAAGGTAGATCCCGGCCGGGAGAGCTCCGCCGTAATAGCTGATAAGATTCACAACAGCCCCAACCCACTGGCGGCCCATACCTCGAAGCGCACCACCACACGATCCGTTTAATCCGTCTGCTATCTGGAACAAAGCAACGTACGGCATCACTTCGCCCACGAGCCGGATCACGCGCTCATCGTCGTTGAAAATCTTTCCAAACACATCCTTCGTTGCCATGAGAACCGTGAGAACGATGGTTCCGAGCAACACCGAGAGAATCGCCGCCGAATGGGCTGCTATTGCTGCATCCCGCGGTCGCTGCGCACCCAACAAGTTCCCTAGTCTTGCCGACGCTGCCACGCCGAGACCAAAGGGGATGGTGTTGATGATTTGATCCGCAGTCATGATGACTGACTGTGCTGCCAGTGGGATCGTACCAAGTCTTCCAGCCGCCAGAGCGACGATCTCAAAAGCCCACCATTCAGTGCCGACGTGGACGACGCCCATAACAGCCAATTTGGCGAAGGGCCCAATGTTTCTTACAGCTTTACGCAACTCCAATCCGCCCCAACACTCTTTGCCTCGGACGAAGACGGCGTACGCCACGAGGAGCATGAAAGAAACCCAGTACGAGATGCCTGTGGCGATGGGAGCCCCATACAGGCCGAGACCGAAGGTGTGGATGAAAAGATAATTGAGCCCTGCATTCAATGGCGACGTAATGAGGAGCACGTAGGTGCCCGGACGATAGATGGCTGCCACAGCCCAACGTCAGCTTCGACTTCGTCTCTATCCCTTATTCTCGCGTTGTTAAACCTCCGGGGCCCTTGACTTACCCTGCGCCTGCAAGTACTTCTTCATTGCTTCAAACCACACATACCCCAACCCGCCCGGGATCAGCCATCGCAAGAATACCGAGCTCTGCACACAAATGAATTCCTCTTGACCCAATGCTCGGAACACCGGCTCAGAGAACCACCACAGCACTGCCACAACGGCGTAGAATGCCGATAAGACGATCATGCCTCTCTGCAACAGTATGCCCAGGTCGTGCTTGTTCGAAGATCCAGTGAAGCTACTTGATGCAAGCGTGTCGAGGGCCGTTGTCCCGCCCAGAGCTATGAGCCAAGCTGTTGCCATGGCGAACATGTAACTGAACGCGGCAGTCGCGAGGGCCTCGGGGCTCAGTCTACCAACAATGAGCACGCTGAGGGTCTGCAGGCTGTTCTGCAGCGTGTACGCGAGGATGACGGGAATAGCGGCTTTGCCGAGGAGCAGAATTTCGGCTAGCCATCGCCGGATAGGGTAGGATCCATCAGGGGCGGACGCCGGAGGCTTCGGTAGCAACGCCGTGGTCTCGGACTGGGGCTGCACGGCCAACGGGCCCAACGTATCGGATGACGACGATTCCGCCATTATTGGTGGCTGCCTAGGGTTACAGGCGCTTCGGCTTACTCCTCGGTTTCGACGCGGAACTGATGTCTGCAAAAGTTCCCGTTGTCGAATATTTTCCGGGAAAATGGTTGAGTTGGCCGAAAGCACGAGCCAAGGGAGCTTGCTTTTGCACGGAACGGATGAGACAATGAAGTTGTTTACCGTGTCCAAGCTCTAAATATGTTGCTGATGAATCGCGTATGCCGTTCGGAAAATGTGGTGGTGGTGGACAATGAAGGTTCAGACGGTCAATCACGGACGAAGAGCTGCGAGACACGAAGCAACAATGCATAGTGCTTTCTTCGTCTTCTTCTACGAAACTGACATTCTCCAGGACCCGGTTCTCCAGCCATGAGATAGCTGACAAGAGTCGATTGCCACATGCAAATTGTCAATTCAATGGCCAAAAACTGACTTTGGGCACGGTTTGCGAAGCTTGCCCGACACTTCCTGCGCGGGGAGGTCCCCTCAATTGACGACGCAACATTGGACAGCGATAAGCGTGCAGTTCGACCTACGTGATTTTTATTTTCACGCTTGCGAGGGCTAGACGTGTGAAAAAGACGTTGGAGAACAGAACGAGGTCTCTGAGTGGCTGCATTATGTGGTGCGCGGCAAGCAATCCATCCAAACTGACGCAATACATGAGGTCGAATTTCTCGAACAAGCAAGCGCTTGACATCCTGCGCAGCCGCTGCTACTCTGACTGCTCTGGTATGATGTTGGAATCGCGGCGGCAGTTCTCAAGATAAGAAAAGCTGCGCTCGAGAGTCTCGGAAATACCATTCAGTGTAGGATGTTGTAGGTAATATTTAGCGCTAAACCAAAGATAGGAGCCGATGGACAACCGTTGCAGATTTCTTATCTAACATCCGTTTCCATGGGCAGCGGCGAACACTCCCTTGGTGACAAAGCGGTCAAAGGCCGACACCGGCTTCGGCTTTAGGTGGCCGGCGAAGCAGAGGGCCGGAGGGTTCAGAGGTAGGAGGGGGGGGTGATATGGTTTTCTTATCGATCATTCGCTGGTTGTGAAGGTATGTAGGCCATTCTCCTCCGCCGGAGACTTGTAAGGGTTCCAGCGCACAAGTGTCGACCGACCCCACCCGCTTTGAACTCATCCGAAAACGACGAGAAGAGTGACAGAGAGGCTAAACAGGATGTCAGGTTACATTGCACTAGCTCACAAGAGAGGGAATGGAACATTTCGAACGAATGGAACAACACCAGAAGCCCCTCTGGAAGAACCTTGGTCGTCCTGATGAGGATAAACGCAAGCCCATCGCTGCACCGTCAAAGCGCAATGGCAAGGAGAGGATGGGGAGTCAAGGTCATGGGTCCTCGCTTGCTACCCTCATCTCACCATTTCAGAAGGGAATATCTGTGCTAAAGACGACAGTGCCATAGCTACCGAAGCTTCTTGGAAATCACCAGAATTGTCCTATTCACTGGCGAGCATCCGAGGAGGCCAATTGAAAGGGAAGAGCACGACCAAGGCAAAGAAAATGGCATGCGTTTCTCATGAGTCGGAACTCGGGTAGAGATGCCGGGAACAATGGCCTAATGCCATGCGGGACGAGGCGAGTTGAGTTGAGTTCAGCCCGCTCACTGGATCTGGTAGGATCACAACCGGGTACGCGAGTCAAGTTGAATACCTACAGGCCTGGCCATGGATTTGTGAAGATGTGGCAAGGAAGGCAGAGAGTATCGTTGCAGAAGATGCATGGTAGCGTCATTGGGATCTCATGTTTGCGGTGTAAAGGAAAAGTCTAAAGCTCACCACTTCTGCAGGACAAAAGCCAAAGTTTAGGTTGACAACCCCTGCCGTGCCTGCGCCCGCCATGCATCAGTCCGCCAAGAGGCCAATCAAGAGGATATGATGTACCAGTCTCATTACATCTCAAAGGTATCACGCAAGGAACGCTCCTTACCACGACGCAAGGTACAAGCCAAATTCAAGAGATAAGCTAGAGCCGGTCCTGACACAGGACGTGGCAAGTCACTACTTTCCTCGCATACCCGTCTTTCTCAGCCATGGGAAAGAAAATCGTTCGAAACATGATGTGGAACGTGGCTCCAAACTCTAAATCTTCATCTGTGAATCCTCGCGTACTTGGGACCGGACCTTGGCTAAGGGAACAACACTGCTCGTCTAATTCCAACACTTTGCCTGGTATTACAGTATCGTGTATGACGAACATCGGGCCCTGTACAATGTATGTCTGCACAAGTGTTACTTGCGTGTAGACACCCTAGGATACATTCCCTTGGTTGTTCTCATCGACTTCCCCGCCCTCGAGCTCGACCCGTCATGTGGCAGTTAGTATACACACGGAACGATGTCTGCAGGGTTCTCTCTCTCTCTCTCAATGTCTTTTTTTTCTTTCTTTTTTTTCCACTTAGGTCCTCTCATGCATTAATTATCTTGCCTCCTACTTTGTCTGCCATATGTTCTACTTTCCGAGAGCACGACCCATTCGGACCTCATGTTGTGTATAGGCTTTCTCGGCAGAGGCATTCGGCAGACGTTCGGGATGAACACCATCGTAGGCCTCGATTACATGGTTGCCTAAGCTATTGAACAGACCAACGTTACTGCGGCCTACGGAAGGAAGTTGGATAACCAGAGGCGGAAGCCCCGCAACAAGGTTACAGGTTGGCCCGTTGAAGGTTCGCAGAATGTCCGCATCCGCACGGATACGGTGTGCCAAACGGTGAAACGGTTTAGGGTTCTTTGGCATACCCACGTGGCCGTGGCTGCAGTAGGCAACGGACGACAGCCGAACACACCCCTTCGCAAGGTCGCCCGTTTCACAAGGCCCCGATGCCACGACGAGTATTTGTGTACACCAGCATGTTGCCGTCAAAAACGTGGATAGCGTTGCATCGTCCTGAGATGTCACGGAGGGGAACCCTCTGCTGGGTACCCCCGCTCCTGGTACGCTGGGACACCTTATTGACCCAGCCAGGGGTGGGGGAAGGGGGCGTAGACAAAGACACAAAAGGGTGGGAGGGAGAGGGGAGAGCATTCTATCGCCTCCCACTCTTTAGAGTTCAGCATTGCAGCAGAGCCATGGGTCAGCCTCTCTAGATTTCCCTTCACTTCCCAACCGACCCCTCATCCACACACCCTTATCCATTCTTGAACTTAGCCATCGGAAGGTGCAAGCGCCTTCCCCAGGAGTAATTTCGGAAGTCGGATCGAAGAAATAACCCAAGGGGGGTGGAAATGACGACGTTATGGCAAGGTGCCATCTTGAACCACAACATCGCGATCCTGTCCCAAGAGGAAGGGTGGGAACCATCTTCCTTGTCCCCTGCCTGCAGTACTTGTACATCGTACAGTACCATAGGTAGCTCCCCTCCCCCGGCCCCTGCTCTGCCCTGCCCTTCATCCCTGGCCCTTGTTTGTGCTTTCCTTCCAATGCCACCTTTATGCAGGAGCTCTCAGTAGCAAGCCACCCCCTATGAACGGAACCGTTACACTACCTGCGGCATTGCCGTCGGCAGTGTCTCTTATTCAACGCCTCGCGGAAGAACCAACTGCTGCCATCCCGGAATGACCGACCTAATGAGAAAAGATTGTAGACAGAAAGGGTCAGGGAATCCGTATGCTTGTGGACGTCATGCCAGGCCTAACAGCCCGCTCAGCACTGCGATAATGGCGGCTTTATCGGTTTTTATTTCCATGGTTGAGGGGGCGGCGGGCATTGGTTTTGCCTCATTAGGGCGAGAGACTGTTGATGGTCGTTCGTCGTCGGGTTTTGCGGCCTGCGGATACATACGCGGCTGTGGACTGAATGCCTTGGCCTGGCCACATACCCCCCCATGATGTTGCAGAATGGAGACAACATCCACACTGGGCGAGGGCGCGGGTTTCTCGTCAGGAAGTTGAATCCTTGGGCACACACTCCGCTCACCGCTCTTCGAGGCGGGAGCATTGCCCGCCCGCCGCTGATCCTGCTGCTCCTCTTGCAGTTGTCGATGCAGAAGCGGCTACCTCCGCCCCAGCCCCATCCCTCTTGCCCGCTCCTTTGGTGTCTTGCTGGCCTCCGAGCCAGTGCTGCAATCTCAGGGCGGCCCTAGCAGCACTCATGGCCATGGCCCAGTTCTCTACGCCGAGTGTCAGCGTACTGATGGTCGTCATATTCTTGACGAAGCGCGCGTGCGGCGTACGGTGGCACGCCGGCGCGATGGCCATCATGATCCAATGGAAGACGCCCACAGCGCTGTTCCACGTCGAAAGGGGCACCCGCCACGTCGTCGTCCAGATCTGCAGGAATTCCGATTCCGTGCATGCGCCGCTCAAGGGTGTACCGGTCGCGATGGCCCGCGTGTAGACGATGGCCGTCATGCGGACGACCTGGTACATGAAGTCCGGGCTCTGTTGCGGATGCTGTCGGTGATGGCCGTATTGCGTCGATCTAGGGCTCGCCGGAGAATCGCCAACATCTCGCCTCTGTAGCCATTCGGAATCCGACGATGGTCCCGATGGCGACCGGCCCGCGCCAACAGAGCCGCGTCCCACTGTGCTTGTGCTGAAGATGTTCCCACTTTCCTCGGATGCCTCTTCGACAGTGGTGTGGATGCTACTATTCGGCGGTGGTCTCGCCCTGATAGGTATCTCTTCCGGCGACAAAAATTGTCTAAACCCTGGGATCGTCGAGTGGAGGCCAGAAATGTGCTCGTGCATGTACCTCCCCGTGAGTTGGGCCTTTCTGGAAGCCTGCATCGCCTTCGTCGTCGTTTCCGTCATGATCGTATTAGTTGTATTCGTTTCGTTCGCCGCAGTGTAAATCGCCTCCACGGCGCCAACAAGGTACCTCACATTGTCGAGGATCGAGGCCGTCGCCGAGTGCATGCCAAGGCTCGCAGCGCAGTTGGCGAAGGACGGGAGCACGCCAACGGACGAGGGCAGGTGGCTGACGAAAGGCGACATGTGTGCCATCCGAAGGGGCACGTGTTTTATAGGGTCATCGAAAGTATATCCCGTAGGACCCCATGGGTCCGCCGTCGTTGCCAGTGCGTCTGAGGGCGGCGGAGTCAGTAGCAGTGGAACATTTTCGTGAGCCAGAGATATGGAGACATCGTGACTACGTGTAAGCATATGAGTCAGTGATTTGTAAGGTCTATACATGCGGACAAATGCCGAAGGGGCATATCGCGTGGAAGCCCATAAAGCGAGACCCATTTACGAGTCAAGGCTGGGGGCGGGAAACCAACAAAAACAACTAACAGCCGGTCGAGCGGAAAAAATGGAAACATGGAATGTCCGGTGGTATATACTGCGCGGCCAAGACAACATGGGGGTAAAAAGGGCTCGAATGGGAGGCTGACAGAATCGAGGGAGGGACAATGAGAGGAATCAGATGAAGAATCGTGGATACGTTGAGGGTGTTACCATCCTCGACAGGACCAACAAATAGATGAGAATACTAAACAACAAACGATTATAAAAAAATTCGCTGGAAAAGGGGCGGAGCCTCCTATCCAACATATCGATTCTGGGTCGACGAGACAAAAGGGCCGAGCCTACATACACGATTGCGTTCTTCGCCAATAGGCCGTTCATACCGAGCTGGTTGAAGCCGCCACGTAACCGAATCATGCCTCGCAAGCCCTTGAGATGGTACCGTAGGTCGTCCTCCGTCTCGCCCCAGTACCACTCGGTAACGGTGAGCTGGATGACGCCTGCGATGGCGGCGTCGCTGGGGTGTTCAGATCTCCCGCTGCTGCCGGTAGTCATCGTGGTGAGAGCGGTCTCGGCGGTGTCTTGACCGTTTGAATGTCGCCTACCGTCGGCACCATGAGACATTAGGCTCTCGTTGAGCATGTGGATGGCACGACCTTTGAGAGTCCGGAGGACCGTGGTCCGGACGTGACCCGTCTCGTGAAGGAAGCAACCCGAGGTGTAAAAGATGATTTGGACGACGAGAGGGTCTTGGAGGCAGAAGGGCGAATAATGGCGCATGAAGGGATTGTTGGGGTCCGGGTCACCATTGACGGAAGCCTTGAAGCGGGAGAGGACTGTGACGTCTACGACCAGTACATCAGGTTCAGCACGTTCTTCTCCTCACGCCAAGCGGACAGATCAAGGGCAATTGCTTACATATTCGAAGAAGTTTCTTGTTCAATACCGTCTGGGCTACTGGGAGATGCACAATCTCAGCGTCCACCGCGCTGATGGGCCTTTCTGGACGTTGAACTCGGGGCTTTTCTGCATGATGCCAGCCTCGGGGTATCGATTCACCGGCGACGAATATTTTGTTGTCGTGATTGTTTTGTTCGTTGTCGTCGCCATCACCATCGAGTTCGCCGACGCCGTCTTTGTCAGCGAGGTTAAGGACAAGGCCTGGCACCGCGAGACGGTATGCGAGCATCTGCTGCGACGCCTGGGATACATCCGAATCCAGTATGCTGCGTTGCGGGTCGGCTAGCGGAAGCCATGGTGCTGGTGCCGTTACTGCCGCCGCTGCTCTCTTGCTTTCGTCGAGGGAATCCGACTGAGGCCACGGCGCGTCGCTGGCAGCCGGATCTGTCAAACAATCTGTCTTGGGACTCGAGTTTGATGTCGTGTTCTCAGATGCAACCCAGCCGGCGACGCTGATGGGCGAGTGCCCGGCCGTCCTTGGAGACTGAGATACTTGTACAAGGGGAGAGTCTGCTCCTGGGAGAGGGAGATGGATGGGAACCCGGCCTCTTGCTCGTGCTGGTGCCAAGAATGTCGATGTGCCTGGTATCCGGCTAGGAGGGCAGTCAGATCATGGGCCGCATAAAAATAAGAAAGAAAAACCAATCACATAAGTGGCAGGAGCAACTGGGTTACAGCTAACGAGACTTACTTTCCTGCCCGATATTCGCATATCGGTACGGGGAATCGACGGAGGCAGTTACTGCAGGGCTGCTCCTGATCGCACTGCATCCGGATTAGTCACCCGATGCGCTTGAAACGTCTTGAAATATGTCCGTATACTCGAGAAATCGTTCTATGCCCTTGAGTACATCTGATATGTCTGAAAGTACTGTGAAACCGAACGATATGAGGATTGGGGGCGGTCGTTAAGACTCAAGGTGTTTACATGCCTTCTGCTTCCTCCTCCTACACTCTCCGCAAGACGTCGTCGTCCTTTCGGCGCGGGCCATGTTGCGTGCTGTCCGCTGCTGCTGCTGCTTCTGCTGCTGCGAACCTTCGGGCATGATATCGAAGCGGAAGCGGCGAGGAGGCCCTCTTCGTCGTTGTCTCCAGAGCATTCGTTCCTGTGGTTCTTGTTGTCATGCGGTGGATTGAGGCACAGCATCAAGTATGACGTGTGGCCCGGGAGTCTGTTTCGAGGGTTGTAGTTTTGGTAGGGCTGAACTTATAAGCAAATCGGGGATAAACAGAAAGCAAAGATCAAACTCGTATAAGGGGAGGAAATGATTGGGGGTGGGACAGGTGGCATTGTGGTTTCTTTGAGCCTGCATGTCGTTGGCTTCGACATGTTTGGCTTAGCGTCGAGGATTTGCCTGGCCTGGCTAGGCCAAGGAGCGAGAAGCGAGACGGGGAGCCCCTCGAGAAAGCCACAAGGCAGCCTTCTTTTTTCTGGGGTTTGTGGTGATCTGCATTAGCTGCGTCGCTAGTACCTAGGGCTGAACCTTTTGATGAACCAGGTAAAGATGCCTGAATCGCCGTATTCGCCGTGAGAGGTAGTCATTCCGGCCGAAAGTTGCGTGAAAATGTTGTCAAGGCATGGACAAGGCTACTGTAACAGGGAATAGATTGAAGATGCTGGGGAGTCTCGGATAGTGGCTGGTGTACGAAACGTGGGAGGTGTAGCCTGTCTCAGAATCGACTATTCGCGGAGACGGGCCCAAAGTCCGACAGGGCCGGTATGTAGCAGTATACATGCAAATCACCACTTGGTGAAAGAGTTCTAGCCTCCAAGCCCTCTTCTGTACAGGGTAAAAGCGCCATCAGCCTCGGGCTAATTGCGAAGCGCTGTAGCCTTTGTAGCGTAAGCCGCATCGCTCAATTGTGTAACCATAGTGAAACCTCCCTACTGGAGAAGGCCAAATAACTGTCGCGGTGCATTGCCCCGGGAACGGTTCTTGAACTGACCGTCCATTTCAATCCCATAACACAGTTAATACTCCCGCAGTCGGTGTTGCAGGGTAAAGTCTGCGGGCTTAAGCTAGTGGTCCCGGCTGAGCTGATTAGACGGTCCGTCACGGCAGCTGAAGGCCAACGGGTTTCCTCGAACACAGGAATGAAGAGTGAGCGCCAACGATGGTTGGTCCATGTGCGAGCGCCGACAAGCACCGCGTTGGCGTCCTGGGAGAAGGATGGAGCTTGAAGAAGATGTTGTCCCGGAATGCAAATGACTTTCAGGTTGACAAGGCACACTGAGAAAGGGACTAGCACAACGGCTGTCTAGATCCAGAGACCATCAGGCGAATGTGCGATCATGGGCCGTTACGCGATGCCGTATGCCTCAGTACTCAATGTACATCAATTGGACAGAGAGACCAAGAAAGATGAGATCAAAACCTTCCACCAAGACAAGGTTCGTCAAGGTACCTAATGTGTCTGCATACTAGACTGGCGCACCATTATCTCCTGTTGAATTTGTCAGCCATGTCTGGTGGCGCTCTGAGGGGGGTATAAGAAATTGGGAAAGACAACGGGACCAAGCTTCGTAAAACGCCCCTGTAGAAGCCCTCAGCGGCCCCCAAATATCTTGGGTCTTTGAGACACAGTGTACAATCTGGGAGAGCCCAGCCTATTGGATAACTCCCTTGATGACTGGGGATGCGCTGCTCGATTGCGGCCACGAAAGGAGAAGCAAACAGATACAAAGCGTTGAGACATCGCCATGCCCTCTTGAGCGCGGCTATGGTTTGCGCTGGTGATGTGTGCTGCGAAAGAGGCTATATATCAGTAACTTCAAGGCCACGGTGGCCAGCTGGATGTCTCAATGCTTGGATAGACGCCGTGTCAACGGTTGAGGGCCTTTGTGAAATGTCATGGTCTAAATTGGGCGTCCTGGAAGGGGAACAATGCAAAGGACAAACGGAAATGTTATTTATTCGGGGACAAACCAAGTAAATAGATCAGACAGCCCCGCCGGGAATATCATGGAGGTAGCAGACTTTGAGCAGTTCGGAGATTCCCGTGATTTAAGCTTAAGCCCCGAGTCGCGATCAGCAGGAACGGCTCGCCGTGACGTAGTGCCCCACTAGCCGACCGAATTATTGGGTCCTTGCCACCGGCCGCAAAACGGGAGTGCCCCGAGCGATGAAGTCACAGCTCACGGGAATTACCAGGAGATATAAGTCAAGTAATCATGCCATACCAAGACGAAGGAAAATGTCGTCATTTCATTAAGGTGGTAAGCTTCTGAGTCGCTACATCACGTCTTCTGCACTAAGTGAGGCACATGTGCTAAGAATGGTATCTTTGAGGAATCACCAAATCCGAAATTGCCTTCCAATAGAAACTCCTGTGGTCGTGTCGCTGTCCAATCATGATTCCAATTGGATCTTCATACCTCGCTCATCGTGGAGGCAAGTGGTCTTGTGATGGTCCAGCTGCTTGCAAGGAAACGGGGTATCTCAATTTGCCCAAATCGTATCATCTTCCGCGGTAGTCTGGCTTTCTAGCCATATTCACTGGTGGAGGCTCGTCGTCAACGGGGTAAGGCAGGGGCGATGAGCTGATAGGGCGACGGCCGCCTGCCGCCTGATGTTCCGGCAATGGTGTCTTGGGAGGCAGCGGCGGTGGAATTCGCAGCGGCTGCTGCGGCTGCTGCACAAAGCCATTGTTGTATTGTTGATTCTGCCATCGCGGGTGCTCGTCGGGGCTCGTGATGGCAATCATGTCGGCGCCGGCCGCATACCGGTACTGAGAAGGTGTGGGCGCAGTAACAACTAGCCGGTCGGCTTCATCATCCTTTGGAAGAGGCGGGGGGCGTTGCTCAGCTCTTGGAGCCGGCGATGGTTGGAGTCGCTCGCCGGAGCTTCTGGGGGAAGGGCTCATTGGCGAAGGTATGTGTAGGTGTTCCGTTCCAGACTCGTATGACTGGCGACTTGGTGGTGTGTTGTGCGGTGGCCACGATGTGGGCACGTCGCCTGGCAACTCCACAGCAAACGATAGCGGCTCGGTGACCTGGGAGTTCGATTTGACTAGTTCGGGAATATCTGGCAGGCGTGAGAACCTAATGTTCGCTTTGTGGATCTTGGCCATCTTCGCGGAAGCCCCTTGTATCATCTTTTGCTCGATGTCCCGCCTTAGATATTGCCTCGTGCTCGTGCTAATTTCGGCCAGGCGGTGCCATTCGTTCATACCAAACTCACCGACACCAACCTCTACATTAAAGCGGTAGTAGTTCTCGATGTTGACGTTTCTCTTGAGAAGGTGCTCCTTCTTCATCTGCTCGTGGATAACTTCACAGCCCTCAATCTTGGAGATGAGCTTGCGGCGGGCCTCTGCAAACTCTCCCAGAAAGCCTTCATACCAAATGTGCGAATTCGCATCGCTCCCTTTGGGCCGCCTGCCAGTGCCGACGCTGAGGAACACTCCCACATCACGGCCGGGCCATTCGTTCAACACCGCCTCGTCCAGAGCTTCGGGTGCAGGGTTGAATGTGCCGCCACCGTCATCGTGGAAGACAGACTGTCCAATTTGGATGGGCTTGAAAGCAAGGCCGATGGCACATGTGGCACGGCCAGCTTGCCAGATCTTGCAGTCGAACTCTGGCGGAGGTTCTCTCCTCGAGTCGTAGGATCGCAAGATGGCGGCAGGAGCGCCCTTACGGGAACCCTTGTACATTGCTAAAACCGCGCTTCATAATTGTCAACTAAATGAACTTCTCGACAGGGGTCTTTGGAGTACATGGTGCTTACGTTTTGGTCCTGTTCTCCCGGGCATCGTAGAGCCGTGCATTGGGGTCGCCGTATCGCGAGTTGAGAACGGGCCGTGCCATCTGGGCTTGAGGGCTGCGTGCGCTGAAGCTGACGGTGCTGGCGTTGCTTGCATGCCTCCTAGGATTCGAGTTGTTGTATCCGCTGAGAGGGCTCATCATGTCGTTCTCGGTGCCGTCATTGCCCTCCTTCTGGTAGACGGTGTGTTCTCGGACAGCCTCCTTGATAGCCTCCTCAAGCTTGGAGGCTTTGAAGAGTGTTGATCGATAAGGGATGCCAGCGATGGTCTTGTCGGTCTCGAAAACCATGCGCGTCAACCTTACGTAGAGTTCCTTGCATTGCTCCAGGTCCAGGCGCAATCTGCCGAGCATCAAGGCGATGAGGCCGCCGGTACCGGTGCCAACGATGAGATCGAAGTGGTCGCATGGCCTGGGAATTTCGTTTCGGCGAGGGGCTCTACCCTCGATCTCGACGAAGGTGCGGTGCATGAGTTCTTGGAGAATGATGAACATGGAGTAACCACGGACTCCTCCACCATCTGTCGCAAATCATGGTCAGTCAAGAGCGTCGCCGGTTGGGTTGGGGGCCTGCTTGGATGTGTTCTGCGGCATAAAAGATTGAGGTCGCTGTATGTCGAGGTTTCACATACCTAGCGATAGGATGCGAAGAGGAGGGCCCTTGGTAGTGTCCCTCCTCTTGACCCCATTAAGGTCCATGAGTGGCGTGGGTTCCCGACGGTAAGCCAGCTTGGTGGTTGCGATCTACCCGGATTCTTGGTTTCCGTTTATAGTCGTTTATGTTGAGAAGGGAGGTTAGTTCGCGCGATCGCAGAACGTCGCTTCACAGGCAGGTGATGTCAATCCGATTTTTGATCCTGCGATCGCAAAACGTCGCTTGCAAGGTGACGTTGATCCGATTTTTGACACTGCGGTCGCAAGAGATGGGAAAATAAAAAGGTAGTAGGAGAAAAAAAGACAGACTAGTAGGTAGGTGTGCCAGTAGGTAGGTAAGGTATGGCAAGGGGAGGTACGAGCAAGGCAAAAGCGCAGCTGGTCATAATCTAAGGCCTGATCACGAGTGACGCAAGAAAGCGGCTTGCGTACTGGGCCGCCCACTCAGATGGAGCCCGGTTCCCCCCACCTCGGCCCTGTCACTTGCGCCGACTTTGCGGAGGGGACTCACTTGTTAGTAAGGTACCTAGGCTCGATATCTTCGATGGGGGCTCGTCACCCAGAGAGAAGCGAGGTTCTAGTGCAGGTCCCCGGAGGATACTGGGGCAAGGTCGGCAAGGAACATGCATGGGCTCAAGGCCGACAGGCTCGCTGTTCTCCGAACCGTCCTACTACCTATGTAAACAGTTTCATAGGCCATGATTGGGCAGAGTTGCGAGGGGTTTGCGTGGAGTGGGAAACATTGTTGTGTCCCTGCGCGGACCAGTTTTCGGCCAAGGTGCTGCGAGATTGCCGTCTGGACGTGCAGCTTACCTACCTAAGGCGGGTGTTAACAGTAAGCGGGCTGTCTGTCTGTCTGTCTATATGCCTTGCAGCATGCCTCGGGTTATCTCATCTGTAGTGCTGATTCCATGTGGACATGAGAGGAGGCCTGCGAACAAGGTAGGTGCTCAACGACAATGAATGAAGCACACGCACGCGAGCGGTCCGGCAGGTAGGTAGGTAGGTGCCTTGACATGACAATAGGTATGACAGGGAAGGGTCGTGCAGATATGGTCCTGCCACGGTGCCTTGCCCTTGCCCTTGCCCTTGCACTTGCCCATCCATCCTGCTTGAGCTGCTGCTCGTATTTCAAACCAGATACCTAAACTTCCTACCTACCTAGATATCTATCTAGGTAGGTACTTGCCTTGGAGATGTGGTAAGAAAGTCATTCGCTCCTCCCTGATTACATGGTTAAGCAAAACTACAACTTCAGGTGAGTGGGTACCCAAAGCAGGCAGGCAGGTAGATTGGAGTCAGCTGCCAGGGCAAACCTCCATCTCTGCTCGCCCAGGCATGCGGTACACCCTCAGGTTTATCCAGCATCTTCCTTTGCCTTCTCCTCCTCCTCCTCCTCCTCCTCCTTCTCCTGCATGTCCCACCTATTTCCTAAACTACAACTACTACCGGCCCCTTGGTCAGAAAACTCCCACCGACGCCGTCAGCAACAGGGCGCCAACCCTCTTTTTGCCATCACCCGCCTAGATACAACACACCCTCCGCCGGACTTCTGCCCCCTCGACGTCTTCGCCGCCCGAGAGAAGATCTTGCCCCGGTTCAGATACCTTTCCCGTCTGGCACTCACTCCAAAGACACCAAAGAGGGAACCAAGACTTTGGGTCTGGTAGAAACGGCCGCCTGCCATTCGTGCTCATTTGCAAGTCGCTTAACAACCCCAGGCTATTCGGCCGCCATTGCTGGATTGGCTGCTGTGGCGTCACTGCCAGTTCCTCCGTTTATGTTGGTGCACACTGTTTTTCCCCATCGCCGACGCTGGCAGTCTGATATACAAGGTGGCAGGGGCAACTTCGTACACTACAATGGTGCCACCCTGTACGAGCCCGAATCCACTTTTGCGGCCTGGTTGAATTCAAAAGACTTGCATTCCCGTGTTCCGACGCCGGGAGGCATCCGCTCTCATCCTTGACTAATCTCTGCTCATCCCGAGAGGGGAAAGCTTACGGGATACCCCGCCAGATTCTTGATGACATAGCCCCGGCAGCACGGCCATGGCCTGTTTCTGGTTTCTGACCTTAACGAGCCCAAAGCCAGAGCGCCTGCATTGTGTTTTGCCGCACCGGGAAATAACAAACCCCGCGCCTTATGTCTGGAGTTCCATCCCATAGCCTATCTTCCCAATCAATGCATCAGTGAGCTTTGCATTGCCCGTTGGGGCTGACTACATGTACTTTCTGCGGCCTGCCACCTGTGGGTAGGATATAAGCCAGGGTGCCCTTTCTGGTGATGGCATCCGCATGTCAACAGTGCCTTCATCCTTCAGCTCGACTTGGGCTCCCTCCCTGCCTCGGACGTGAGAAAAGCTGTTGAACCGGGTCCTTGATTGGCTACGATGGTTCTTCGGACTGATCCAGAAGGCTCAAAGCTCTTGTTCCGCGTGGCTGTGCAAGGCTTGGGCGGCTCGACGGCTCTCACTCCCCACCCCTCTTCGCTCGACTCGAAGCTGCACTAGTATCGATCGATCGTCCTGTCGCCACTGACAAGCGCTCGCGTGACAGCGACGCGTTCCTCTGTGCTCTCGGGTTTTCGCGTCGTCCTTCATAAACCTTCTTGGCAGAAGACGTGTACGGAGTAACCCCGTCAAGTTGGCGGATCTCGCATACAGATACTACGATGTATGCTAATAATACAGGTACTATCCCAATCACTGGGCCAGAAACACTGGCTCAGCCAGTGGCTCCATTTGTGCCTCGTGAATGGCCGAGCCTGGCTGGGAGACCCCCGCACATTGGACTTCGCGTAGCCATCTCTCCCCTCTTTCCTTTGGGCCTTCGCGCCACAACACTAGACACTCACTCATTCGGCCCGTATTCTTCATCAAGGGATATCCCAGACAGGTCAACGCTGCCTTGGATTGGCAACTTTGAGAAGATGGTTCTCTGCATTCTGGAATTCAGGAATTGACCGAACAAGTGGCTTAGCGCTGGGAGATGCGTGGAACGAACGGAGCTGCCTAGGAATCAATGAGGGGCGATTGCGACCTGACATACCTACATACATGTGTTTGAGTACTGCGACCCAGGACATCACCGTGCCGTCGTTTGCTGGGATACAAGCTCAATCGGCGCACGGGAATCCATCATGTCGAGTGCTCTATCCGTACATTCCGGCACGTTGGCCACCGGATCGGTGCCCAAGACCCAGCGTAGGGTGGGAAACAGTTGAAAAGCTCGGAGGCGACTGATCAACAGGTGCCGGCTGCATCCCTGCCCGGCGACCCACCCTCCCGACTCGCGGCATGGCACCATCGGGAGTTCCCAGAACTCCTGATCCGGATCTATTTTTGCCCCGACCAAAGGTTGAATAAACGGAACGGAGGCGACCTGCATGCAGCCCTGGATTTACAATGCACAGTGATCGCCGGTTCGCACATTGCCGAGCCACCGAGCGATAATGGCCTTCTCGAGTAGGTAGTCGGAATTCTGAAATTCTGAATATTTTTGAAGAAAGCTCGGTCGCCTTTTTTATTTTTTATTTTTTTATAGGTGTGGTACATCACAACATCGTCAATTTGACTTGCTTGGGCGACCACGTACCCACATCGAATAAATTTTACTAAGGGACCCCTACTTTAGTCCGCAGCCAAAGAGCATTGTGCTTCTGATAACGCAGGATGGCTGGACTCGGCTGTGCGCACCAGCGGCACTCAGGGCGCCCAAGCTCCTAGAGGCTAGAGCTATGTCTGCTACCGGGAAGAACCCTTCATCCGAGGCAAAGCATACATACACTACAGGTATAGAGTGAGACGAGGCCGGCTCTTTTTTTTTATTTTTTTTTAGCGGTGTCCCAGCGCGGGCACCAATCCTCAAACGTTGCCGATTGTTGGATATCTAGCTCGTTGGACTCACGCCGTAGCGAGCCAGCCTCTCCTCCCTCCCCTGAGATGACAACGATTGGTAGCATATCGCCAATAGAGGGCATAAACATTAACGCAGCTAGCGCAACACGTCGCTTTGGAGGCTGCGATTGATGCAGCAAAATCCGACAGGAAGGCGTACGTAGTGCACTGCACTGGAAGCTGATGAGACCGGATCATGTAGCCTTGATTGGCCAGAAGCGGCAGAAAAGATGGAGTGTGAAAGATGTCGGTCGTAGAGTTGGATGGTGGGAGACCGCACATCTGCAGCCGTGCCTTGCCCGACGTGGGCAGGAAGTCAGCCAAGCATGAGGTCGTCTCTCACCAGTGTTATGCCTCCTCCAATCGGTTAACAAGAGATGATTATCTCACCTCACAGTGCCGTTACCGGTCCAGCGTCAGAATGCAAGCCCCTTGCGCTTCCCGGCTGCGCCGCCACGTCTCGTGTGTCCCGGATGAGGCGGATGGGTTGAGACTGTACAGCAATAGGCTGCACTACCCTCACTGTACACTGCCTTGGAGCCAAAGGCGCTCATCTCTCTATGTGCATGGCATGTGGTTAATGAGTGATGATTTACAGATGACAGGCGTCGTCCAGTGTTACAAACACGTCAAACTCGAGTCGGAGAGCTTACCCGTATCGATACTTTCGCCATCTAGGGCGAGAGCGGGCGAGTACGGATTCCCTGGTGCATCACTGAAGGACTGACGGAACACTGGCATGGACTTGTCATGTCCGAAGCATGCCCAATGGAGCTAAAAGATGCTGCCTTGCAGCAAGACTTGGACAAAGGTCGTACATGTGGCACCAGTGGGAGCCAGAGAAAAAGGCAGCTGGCTGCATGACGGCCGGCCAGTCGTCAGGCTCCAGGCGCCCCATGCCAGACGGCAAGGTATGGGACTCGGCGGTCGAGGCAAAGGCGGAGGAGGGGCAAGGTCTCGAGCTGCATGAGAGGGGCGAGGGGTGCCCGCCCAAAGGATGAGCGGGAAAGGGAAGAGAGAGAGAGGAAGAATAACAGCTCCGAGATTGGCAGTGAAAGTTGACACCTGCGGTATTGGCCTGGCAGAGCATTCAAAAATAAAATAAAATAAAAAATAGATTGGTGAAGGGCATGGGCAAAAAGATACACTGCAGAGTGCGGATGAAGTAAGATAACATGGACTAATGTCCCTACAGACAGGTACGGATGGAGATGGGGAGAAAGCAAGGGCCACCGCTTTCCCACCTTGAGAGGTGAATGGTCTCCCGCCTTCCCCATTTCTCAGGCTCGGGCCCATAAAACCACTATCACCAGGGCTCCCATCGTCCAATCAAAGCTTAATGCAGGTGAGTAGAGTCCAAATCCCCCCAAAGGGCAACCACAGCCTCGCAGCCTCACTGCGCTCCCGCCATTCCTCTTGTGCTGTGCTGCTCCTCGGTTCCTCACCATCCTTCATCTCCTCATCGCCCTCGTCCCCAATTCCTCGTACGATTGTCTTCTCCCTCTGTAAATTGGTGCTTCCATGACCGCAACGCAACCCAATCTCAACCTGCGATATCACACGTTGTCTTCCCATTGACCCAAACCGCAGATGGAAGAGTCTCAACCAGCGAAACGGCGAAAGCTTCTCCCGCGCCAACCCTCAACCAGCACCACACAAGCGGCCCCATTCCCACATGAATTGGTGAGCATGACGGATGAATGCAGCTGTGACGAAGTCTGAACTGACAGTTGGGGTCTCCAGCCTCAGCAACACCCGGTCCAAGAGACCCCTCCAGCCGAACGGCATGACTTCGAGTCGTTCGCGAGGCATCTGCAAGATGCCGCCATGTTGATACAACGCCAGACGGAGCGCACCCCGTACGACAACGTCTCTGTTCTCCTTCTGCGCTGGGAAGAGGATACCTCGGTCGAAGCCGATCTCACAGCCATGGAGAATATACTCCGATCAACCTACAATTTCCGGACCGACCGATGGGCCATTCCGACAGTGCCCAACCCTAGCATCAAGCTTGGTGTGCAGATGGCTTCCTTCCTCGAGCAAGCCAGAGCTAACCACTTGTTGATCATCTACTACGCCGGCTACGGTTTCGTTGGATCCGACAACCAACTTTACTGGGCTTGGTGAGTTGAGGATCTGCCTCGAAAAGAACCCCCGCACCGTTCTGACCGCTCTTCCATAGCAATACCCGAGATGACGCCGCAAAGCTCAAGTGGGATGGCGTGCGCTGCTTATTCGAAGATGCTCAGTCCGATATTCTCTTGCTTCTCGACTCCTGCTCGGTTCGAGATGTTCCTGTTTCTGGGAGCCACGGCGTCAAACAAGTCATCGCGGCGTGCGGGCCTGAGCAGAACCCCCGTGATGCCACGGGCAAATCCTTCACCTACCACTTGATCGAAGCACTACACAAGCTTAGCACAGCGGGTAGGCCTTTCAGCGTACCGAGGCTGCACGAAGAGGTCGTTCAGTTGAGGCAACAAGAAAGCGCTCAAGCGCTCAAGCTCACAAATGGTGCCAGCAAAACTCCGCCCCCATCAACCCAGCTTCCCATATGCTTCACTCTCACGCCCGGCAAGGGACAGATTCTGAGCTTGGGCCCATTATCTCCTTGGCCACTTCCACAGCAGTCACCACGCAACGGCTCTGATGGGGACGCCCAAGCGAGGACATCGCGAGAGGATCAGCTTATCGATCCCGAATCTGTTACTGACCTTCGGTTTGATGAAGCGAGAGTCCTCGTTTGCACCACATTTGTCGGGGATGCCAGTCCAGACATGTCCTTCTTCAATAGCTGGCTCCACAACACACCGCCCTTGGCTGCTAAGATTGAAGTCGAGGGCATGTTTCTCGGCCCTCCAACCATGCTCCTGATATCGATGCCTCACTCGATCTGGAATGTCGTACAGCATGATAAAGTCTGTTGTTTCCTGGGATACATCACGTCACATAACATGATTCAATTGTATCAGAAGCTCAAGGGCTCCACGGGCATCCCCAAAGCCACGGCAAAGGAGGTTGAGGACGGGCGAATCTTGTTGGAGGCGCGGGAGCTAGCAGCAAGCACGCCGGCTTTGCATCGACGCTCGATAGACAGCAAAGACGCCTCGTACCTTGAGGCGGCCAGCCGTGTAGATACCAACCCTTCCGGCGTATCATTCGCCGCTGCCGCCGCCGCCGCCGCTGCAGCGGTGGATGGCAAACATGATGTTGAAGATTCGGCCGAGATGCAGGAAGCGGCGGAACAGCTAAAGGCACTAAGCCATGTGCGCCATCTGAGCGACGAGGCCCCCCCAGCCGTAGAACGACAACGCACAACCCTCCCTGATGGTGCGATGCCCGTCAATCACGAAGACACAGGTTCGTCTCATGACGCGAATGAATCAGGTGCAGACGACACGATGCATTCCGCCGACCTGAGCACCCCCAACGCCAAAACCAAACAGCGACGGTCCATACAAAAGGCGACCCCCAAGCAAGAGACTAGATGTACGTTATGTAGTCATGCTCCCTTCAAGGACTCTTCATCGTTGCGCAAACACATCGCAGCTGCACACACCAGGCCATTCCCTTGCGCCTTTTCGTTCGCGGGGTGCACCAGCACATTTGGTTCAAAGAACGAGTGGAAGCGGCACATTGCCTCTCAACACCTCTGCCTACAGTACTACCGTTGCTCGTCTTGCCCGCAGAGTACTGTGGAAGGCAAGGGGAACGAGTTCAACCGGAAAGATCTCTTCACCCAGCACCTGCGCCGCATGCACGCACCATTCGCCATCAAGAAGGCCATTGCTAAGGGCGACAGCAAATTGCAAGTGGAATGGGAAGGCCATGTCAAGGAGATGCAGACAACATGTCTTGTCACGCGCCGGTCACCGCCTCAAAAATCGGCCTGCCCAAAGCCGGATTGCCAGAGCGTGTTCGAGGGTCCCGGCTCCTGGGACGAGTGGACGGAGCACGTTGGAAGGCATATGGAGAAAGGTGAGGGCCAGCGACTCGGGGTCGATCGACTGTTGGCCAAGTGGGCTCTCGACGAAGGTATCATCGAGCGAAAGGAAGATGGCGAATATCGTCTCTGTGCCGGCAATGGCCCTGGTGCTGGCCTCAGCGGCGGCGGTTCGGTCGGCGGAGAAGCAAAAGAATCAATATCCGTGCTTTACCCAGAACCAAAGCAGGAAATCGAGGCGGAAATCGAGGCAGAGGTCGAGGCAGAAGTCGAGGCAAGCAACACCCACGACAAGATGGAAGTAGACGCTTAGTCTATCGGCATCGTTTTCGTTACTTTCCTTGTCGATAGGACGACAAAGGGCAAAGGGCAAGAGAGGGGCCAACGGCGATGGGGAGAGGGCAGAATCAAAAGCGAGGTTCCAGGGCGGCGGCTCACTCTTTGCGGAAGTTGGCGCGGCACTGCGGATTTCCTGTCAACCTATATACTACGGCGGCACCATTGATCGGGAGGAATCATTTTGGTACGATTGACATGATGTACATGAACTACTATCACTCTCTTTGGCAAATTCGCTTCTTGCTGGTGAGCTCGAAAACCCCGAGCAGCTAGTTACCTACCTGTCTGGTTCAAGTCGTTGAGCGCCAGGCCCAAGGCTACGCAATACGGGGAGGAAAGAAAAAAGAAAGAAGAAAGAAAGAAAAAAGAAAGAAAAAAGAAGGGAGGATGGACTGGAAAGCCCAAAAAGCAAAGAGTAGTCAAGACCAAATCAGAGTCCTCTCATGACCCAGGTTTCGCCTGCGTGGTCGTATACCAAGCTTTTGACGATGCCGGACCGGCTTCGGCAGTCGAACCCCGGAACCGATTCATTCAGCTGCCGCCTCCTGCAGATCGCCCGATGCGCCCCACAAAAAGAGGGGGGTTGGACTTGATATCTCCCCTCCCCCTAGCCCCTTGGGCGTTGTATAGGTTGCAGGGAAAATGAAATTGGTCACCCGCCGTTGTGCTTCCGATTTCCTAAGTGGCCATTTCAGTTTCATTCCAGCATGGCTTTATGGTATTTGCGGTCGGTTGCAACCTCGGCTTGCGACCTAAAAGGGTCGTTGATGGTTAACCTGGCCGGCCACGTGAGCGCATGACGCGAGTACATCCACACGGCATCCCACCTCCTCACCGAGTGGGGTCGACGAGCCACTGAGGATATTTGGACGGTGACGAAACGCTGACAGTCGATTGAAGGGACTAATTACTTGACCCCTCCCTCCTCCCTGGACGACTAGGTAGACTGGTCGTTCCCCGTGCACTAAGCCGTAGTAGGCTGGAGGAAAGCTCAACGTGCGGATCACGAGATGAGCTTAATGGAGAAATAGAACCATGGGGAACCCAGGGCCATGGGGATCCCGGGGCCGAAAGGAAGATGGGCCGTCGCAATATGGATAATTGGTGATGGAACATAGAAGCTGGCGGATGTTTCGATGCCAACGGGCCGTGCTTTCTGGGAGAACATTATATAACAGCCTATGCCTTCACAATGTTGTGTTTACAAGAACACTTGACCGGGTAGGGCGTGTCTCAATTCACTGCCTCGGTGCGATTGCTAAACCAACCCCCCCTCTGTGGTTGCGATACAACGTTGACTTACACGACAATCCGCCAGCCAACATGCGTCTATTCAACGGCCTGGCTTCCCTCCTGGCAGGAGCGCGCCTCGCGCAGGCCACCCTCCAAATCATACCTGGCGGAACATGGACGGCGGTAAGCAGCCACTTCTCCCTCCTTCGCGTTCCTTCTCCCCCCTCCTCCATCCACTCTAGCCGTTGCCTCGCGTCCCAGAACAACGCTTTGCGAAGCAAGAAATCTGACATGGCTCGCAGACTAACACGGGCCGGCACGTCCAAGCCCACGGCGCCGGCGTCACCAAGGTCGGCTCGACGTACTACCTCATCGGCGAGGACAAGACCGAGGGCAGCGCCTTCCAGAACGTCAACTGCTACGCCTCGACCGACCTCGTCGAATGGAGCTACGTCGGCGCCCTGCTCTCGCGGACTTCGGTGGCGGGTGACCTCGGCCCCAACAGGGTCGTCGAGCGGCCCAAGGTCGTCTACAACAGCGGCACCGGCAAGTACGTCATGTACATGCACATTGACGACAGCAACTACGCCGAGGCCAAGGTCGGCGTGGCGACGTCCGACACTGTGTGCGGTAACTACACGTATCTGGGCAGCTGGAGGCCGTTGGGGTTCCAGAGCCGGGACATGGGGCTGTTCCAGGACGACGATGGGTCTGTGTATCTTCTGACCGAGGACGTGAGTTTTTGGCTTCTCCCCCCACCTTTCTCCTTCCTTCCTTCCGCTTTCTCTTTGCATTATTGCCCAAAGAAACACGGCGGCGATACGTTGCTGACGGGGAGGGTTGACGGACAGCGGGCCAATGGCTTGCGCATCGATGCGCTATCATCGGACTACCTCAACGTCACGCAAAGCGTCTACCTCTGGAGTGAGAGCATCGAGGCGCCCGCCATCCTGAAGAAGAACGGGTACTACTTCATGTTCGGAAGCAGACTGACCGGCTGGGACCCGAACGACAACGTACGTTCTCTCTCCTCCCTCTCTTCCCGTCCTTTGCCCCCTCTACTTCTCTCTCTGACGCCCGCCAGGTCTACTCTTACGCGACCTCCCTCTCCGGCCCCTGGTCCGCCTGGCAAACCTTCGCCCCCGTCGGCTCCAACACCTTCACCTCTCAGACGACGTACATCCTCCCCCTGGGCGACACGGCAATCTACATGGGCGACCGTTGGGTCAGCACGAACCTCATGCGGAGCACCTACATCTGGCTGCCCCTCACAATCTCCGGCACCAATATCACCCTCACGGACCGCGTCAACTGGGTCCCCAACGTCGGCACAGGCACCTGGGCCGTGGCTCCGACCGAGACGTCTTACGAGGGCGAGGCGGCCGGGCTCTCGGACGGCGCGAGGGTGATATCGTGTACGGGCTGCAGCGGGTTGGCGGCGGCCGGGTACATCGGCGGGTCGGCAGGCGGCAAGGCGCAGTTCTCGAACGTTAGCGTTCAGGCCTCCGGGTGGACGACGGTGAGGGTGAAGCACATGAACGGGGACACGAGCCAGCGGTGGGGGACGGTGACGTGCAACGGCGTCTCGCAGACGGTCGGGTTCCTGCCCACCGCGGACGGGAACACGCCCGGGAGCAGCTCCGTCTTCTGTAACCTGGACGCCGGGTCGGGGAATACAATCTCCTTCATGAGCACCGATTCCTCGTGGGTTGCCGATATTGACAGGATTTTTGTTCCTGTCAATTAGGGAGGGAGAAGTGGGGACATGATTCGCGAAGATCGTACAGCGCACGAGTAGAGGGGGGGCATAATGACGAGACAGACTTTCCTGTGTTGTTCATTGTGTATATATACATTAAAAATAAACCTAAGGGGGGGAGGGACCGGGCGAGGCGTATAAACCTAATTGATCTCGATTACGAAGGGTCCAGTCAGGGGCTCATCGACTTCGACCGACTTGACAGCCTCCTGCCTCTTTCCAGTCTGTCCTCCGCTCAGAAGCGTGACCTTGGAAACCCTAAGCGGTGTCTCGTAGCCGAACTCGCCGTCCACAGAAACCTTGCCGTCCTTGTAGTCAAAGGTGACGAGCGTGACGCCGGCCTGTTCCAGGCTGACGCCGTCGTCGAGGTACAGCGTACCCTTGGCAGTGCCATCCCGTCCCACGGCGATCAAAAGCTCAAAGTTCTCCTCACGGAGCTTCTTCGTCGTCATGGCGCTGTTGGCGCGCAGAGGCAGCACGGAGCCGCCACGGATGAAGAGCGGAATTGTGGTGTAGTCCTGTTCTGCCAGGGTAATGGTTGCGCCGGCGCCCTGGATCGTCTCGTGGGTATACCAGTCGTAGAATACGTCGTTAGGAAGATAGACATCGACCGAGGTCGAGTTCTCTTCAGTTACGGGCGCGACGAGAACGGCGTCACCGTAGAAGTACTGTAGGTCGAGACCAAAAGTCTTCTCGTCCTCGGGGTACAGGTAGAAGACTGGGTTGATGAGCGGGGTGCCATCGACAGTCTGCTGATGTAACGCCGTATAGATGTAGTCGAGGAGGCGGTAGCGGATGGCAATTGCCTTGCGGGCGCTGTCCGCAACGGTGTCCCAGAGATAGAATTCCTGCGATATGCTATCAAGGGAGTTGTGGTTGCGGTAGAACGACGAGAAGGCGGCGAGGGCGGCCCAGCGCGCGCATAGCTGCTCGGTGGTGTTGTCGCCGAAGCCGCAGGCATCGGAGCCGACCATGGGCACCTGGTACAGGGAGGCGAACTGCAACAACTGGGAGATGGAGACGCGGTACTGCTGCCAGTTGGAAAGGTTGTCACCGAGCCAGTGGCCGACGGACGTCCCGGCGCCAGCGAAGGTCGAGCGCGTGATGATGAGAGGTCGGAGGCCCGGGCGGCGGGCCTGCATCGCGATCCTAGAGGCCGTCGACATCATCGACCCGTAGAGGTTATGGGTGTCGTACATGGTGAGCCCATTCTGGTGGATGACGTCCGTGTTGACCGTCTTGTTGGAGATACCACCACCGGCAGCGTTCGAGGCCGTGTCCCATGCGGCCTTGTTGTGGATAGCGTACTTGGGGAAAAGGAGATCGCGGTCCGGAAGGCCCTTTTGGTCGCCGGGTACTTGCCTGTCGACAATGATCAGGTTGTCAAATTTCTGACTGGCTGGGATCGTCCTGGGGGAGATATCCTTGCGAACGAAGACGTCGGATCTCTTGGTTTGGTTGTTGCCACAGTCGGTTCCAGGAGGTTGGAAGTCGCAAGGCCAGCCACGCAGGAGGCGGGGGTTCTCCCGGACCGGTGGCGGCTCGGGAGGGAAACCAACAGCGGAGCCGTAGGGATCGTCGCAGGGGAAGTAACAGGGGAAGTTGGAGGGCTCGTTCATGTCAATCCACAAGGCGTCAATGTCGACACCGTCGTCGGCCGAGAAGAACCCGGCGAACTCGTTGTTCCAGTACTTTGTAATGTTCTCGGCGAACCAGTCGGGGAAGACGGTCACGCCGGGCCAGACGACACCGACCCAGACGGAGCCGTTGCTGCGGAGAAGCCAAATGTTGTCGTCGATGCCGCGTTGCAAAGTGGGGGACTCGACATAGGCCACTGCAGGGTCTACCATGACGATGTAGTGCTGGTCGTTTTCGTGGAGCTTGTCGACGAGCTGGCGCACCTTTGCTAGGGGGTAGCGCTCCGGGTCGAGAGAGAAGACCCTGTATAGTATTAGTGTGTGCATACAAATATGGAATTTTCGGCATGAGTGTGGCAAACCTTCGTCTGTCCATGTAGTCTATGTCTGTCCACATGGTCTCGAGGGGGATCTCGGCGATGCTGTAGTTGTAAACAACCTCGGCAACGTCGAAGACGTCACGGTATCCGTAGCGGCACTGATGAAAGCCCAGGCCCCAGTACGGCATCATCGCAGGCAACCCGGTAATATGAGCATACTGCTGAGCCACCTCTATGGGAGAGGGGCCAGCCACGAAATAGAAGTCCAAAACTCCGCCAAGCGTGTTGTACTGGAGGTACTGGCCAGACCCCTCCGTCTTGTTGATGAAGACATCCATACCGTTGGAGTTGAGGAAGAAGACTCCGTGAGTGCTATTCTTGCGGTGCTCGTAGTAGACAGGGTGGTTCCCGTATAGATTGGCACCGGAGGGAATGCCATATGAATCCTGGGACCACAGCGTGCGGATGTAATCTGTGGTGTTGAGACGGAAAGGGTCGGAGTGCTCCCCCAGGCCGTAGAGGTTGGGGTTTTCGGGCAGCTTGGTGCGGAGGCGCAGGTACTGGCTCTCGAAGACGATGTTGGCGCCCGAGGTGTCGAAGAGGACCTCACCCGTGTCGGGCCGGATCACGGTGAAGGAGAAAGGGCTCTCGGTGTAGTTGAATTGGAGCTTGGATTTCTCCGAGCTCACGCCGCCGGCATCGGGGCGGGGGAACACCGACTCGGGGACCTGGTAGACCTGGTTCCCGGCATCCTGGATTTTGACATGGAGGCGAGTGTCTGTTGTGTCTCAGTATTTGTCCATGTCGAAGCGTCCCAAGGGACGCGGGAGTATTTGATCGCTCACCGGTCTGGTACTCAACAGTCAAAGTCAGGTCGGTCAAGTCAGTGCCGTACACGTCACAAGCCTCGCCGGCTAGGGATAGGTCTGCGGTAAGGCCTGAAGAGGAGGTCTGGACGTTTGAAGCCCGGTAGCCTGGGCATTTGGCAAGAACGTCGTCACTGGGATAGTCTCTAGGGATAACGGCAGCCGAAGCCACAGCCGTGAGCAGTCCGAGAACAGAAAGGGTTCTCGCCATGGCTGACGACAAGACCTTTCGTTTCTAACCCGTGTTGGCGAGGATAACTAAATTGGTGCAAGGACGAGAGAGGCCCGACTACTGGTATAGACATAAAGCATTGACTCCATGGCGGGCTTTATACTTGACTGCGGGTTGTTTTTTTAATTTGCAGATTCGGGAGCAGAGTAACATCAGCCGGAAGGCGCGAAGGTCAATTGGAACCCCGCTAGCACTGGAGTGGGGGGAAGGCATGGGTAACGATCGCTCTCCAACCGTTCACCCGGGAAGTCAAGAAATGAATACCTATTGGCATGGGGTTATTTGTTTTACGTATGGCTGGCGCTTGCTGTGCAGGAGACGATGGTAGCGAATGGGCTCGCCGTCCATGGGGCTGCAGGGTCTCGGCGCCAAACATCATTCGGTCTTTCGTCCGCGCGGGTCTGGGGTTCCCTGCGATACTTTCGTGGTTTGCTGTGGATGGTGCCGCCGTTGTGTATTCCCCTAGCGCCCGACTCGCCAAGGAACCTAGTGTTTAGTTAGTGTGGAATGCTTCTGACGTCTATTTGATTGAGCGGCTCGAGCGAGCAATGGAGCGAGGTAGTGTAAAGAAGGCCGTTTGAAGTTTCCGTGTACGTCTTCTGAAAAACAATGTCTCGACGTACCTAGGTAGTGTGTTGGAGGAGAGGGTTAGCCATCTCTCTTCTTTCTCTTTTTTGCTTCCCCGCACCCGCCCTCTTGAAGCCAAGGTTGATGCAGTAGCGCTATGACGATGATGATGCGCAGCTGTGCTTTGCGGCGGGGAAAAGACGGAGATGGGATGGGGAAGAGCCCGCATAATGCTGCTAAAGATGCAGCTACAGTCCCTAGAGGCAGGTCAGCTGTGTTGCAAGTGGGATATCATTGGTTGGCGAATTCTCTGTCGAGGAGGGGAAAAGAAGCATAGGAACTGTGCTTTACCTGTTGATTCGACGTGTTGGAATTTTGCTGTGGTTCTAGCCTCTCTACGCTGTATCCCTCTGCAGTTAGGATGATGATGATCCATCCGGTGCAGCCAACGGCCCGACTGGTGGCTTGACCGGATGGCGGGGAAGCTCCTCAAAGAGGCACACCCCACCCGCATACCTACATACATACCCCATGGGCCATCACCCAATGGCGGAGTCTCCGCAAGCGCACTACTCACTGTCTGTCATCTTGTTACCAGCTTTTTTGTCACTGCTTTGAATGCTTAATGCCTGTCACTTCCTACTTTGTACCGTCCTGTCGTGTACCACATGCAGCCTGCACCCCAGCCGCTCCGCGGTACCATCGAGGCTGTATTCCGCCGAGGCATGGATGGTCTCGGCCAAACCATCGGCACGCTTTCCTGCACTCAACTGACGTGTTTCTCCCAGACAGTTAGGGTAGAGAAGATGGGGCTCCAGACAAGGTATTACTGTGGGCTGCCCGGTCCATCGTCACTTCATCCAAACGTGTGAAGAACAATGGTTTGGACGACTGTCTGTCTGTTCATGACCAGAGTAGGCTTTAATACGGCCAACCCATCGAAGCACACAGTTGAGCTTCTCTCTGTATAGGAACTGCATATGTTCTAGATGACTGACTCCGAGGTCAAGGAACAGCTTTCAGAACCAAGACGTTGAGAGAACTAAGCATTAGGGGTTGGATCGAGTAGACTGGAGAGACTTGCTACGCCCTGAAAATCATTGCCACCAAGCGTCTTTTCTCTCATTTCTGTATTCAGGGGATCTCGTTGGCTTGGAGATATGGAAATCTATCAATGCAATGGAAACATGCTTCCCATCATGGCTTTACATATCTAAGCCACTTACACCCGCTGTCAAGCCAATGAATCTTGAGCAGCGAGGCACCCAAAACCTCAAAGACGTGACTCTCAACACGCACAATGAGCTCGGGCTGTCCAGCACCCGGAATCCCTCGGGAGTCTCGTGGGCCCTCGATGAGGATAGCAGCTTCACATTCAAATGAAAAAAAAAAAACACAGCCTTTTTATTTCTTGCCTTGACCCCCTCTTTCTTCTTCTCTTCATCTCAGTTCAAGGAGATCAGAGACTGGTAAAGTTCGATGCCCAACAAACCTCGCTTTCAATCACTGAAAGAAGCCCCTTTTTTGCCCACTTGAGCTTCCCTAATCACTGACAATCTTTCCTCTGGATTCTTTCGACTCTTGGGGGAAAACTAGTCACTCCCGTTTCGAGCTGTTGGTTGCCAGACTTTGTACATCATTGGCTTTTCCTGGCAACTCATCTCCACCAACCCAGGCTTCCGCTGCTTTAAGGCAGACACCAGGTACTCACTTGAGCTGTCCTTTCTGCCAAAAGGATTTTTCCTCCCTGCCTCTCTCATACTACGCAGAGGGCGTCTGCCAAGAGGTAAGCTTCGCGCTCCAAGGCTCCTTTGGTCTCGTTGACCCTTGACCTAGGCAGAAGCAGAAAAGCAAGCATAACGCTTCCGTCGCCTTCTCAGATGAACCAGAAAAAATGGCTTCCGAGTACATCAACAAGGGCCAGGAGAGTATCCAACGCACCCTTTGGCCTGAGTTCCAGCCTATGGCGCAGAGTAACGAGAAGAACAGCAGGCAAAAGAATCTCGCCTACGACATCCACCAGAAGCAGCATCAGACCAACACTTCTTCCCCCATTGAGGATGAGCGCGAAGATGTTTTCTCCCCTAGCATCATACAGACCATCGATGAGATGAGGCCCGTCGACGGCTTTCGGAACCAGGACTACATCGATTGGGGCCGTACTGACGAGGAGCGCCGCGAGGCCTTCCTCGCTGATCTCTACGAGGGGCCCTATGTCAACATTGGACGACCCATTCTTGTACCTGTCTCCCGTTTGAGTCGTACCAAGCTTCGCGGAACCAGCGCTCGCATATTTCATGACTCGCCTGTCGATCTACCTTTTCCTCGTGGCTTTCGCAGAGAATCGCCTGACGCCTTCCTTGGCCCTGCAGCTCCCATCAACGCCACTGCTCCACCGACCCCTACCCGCCTCGGCTCCTTGTCTGTTGGCGAAGCCCGCAGATCCAACAAGACCATTCGGCTCGAAAAGAATGAGAACACCGGCATGAACAGTGACCCCAATAAGCCCAGTCCCGGCACCGGCAACCACCTCATCTTCGACCCGAGCCCTAAGAACCTCTTGGCTCTCGGTATGAAAGGCAAGACCATAAACGGCGCCCAGAGCGGCTCAACCATGGATATCAACAAGATTCAAGGCGAGACTGCTCCCTCTACCCCGCCCCATCCCCCTCCTGGCTTCCAACAGGAGGAGGGCCCATACGGTGCTACACCTGACCGCCCTCGTACTGTCAAAACGACACCGGCCACAATGTTCCCCTGCAACGATACGAAGCCAGATGAATCGCCTACCCTCCGCCTTCAGATGGGGCGTCTCCGCATCACCTCAGCTGATGATTTCAACTCGGGCGCGGCTGCTGGCTCTGGTTCCTCAGACCGTTATAGCGGCCGTGCTCATAGCCCTCACCCGTACTATTTTGGTTACCCAGTTCCACGTACACCAACAAAGACCAAGAGAGCTCGGGGTGAGTTTGAAAGGACTACTACCCTCTCGGGCAGAGACGTCGCACGCGAGCGCGAGATTCTGGCTCGCTTCGCCGCTGCCGCCAAAGACGAGGACGGGGACGAGGAAGATGAGAAGGAGGAGGGTGAGGAGGATGAGGAGCTCACGCCGAAGGCTTCGGTCCTCAACCGCCATATGGATATTGACGAGGAGTAAGCGACCACACGGCCAAGGATTGGAATACCAATCTTTGACAGGACCTCTGTGTGCTGTCCCTTTCTGCTTTCCCTTGGGTCGCCCCCGCGCTCTCCGTCGACATTCAGATCATTGCAGAAGAGCGCTTGCCACTTCAAAAACCAAAACATCGTTAGAGGTGGTTTGAACCTCAGCGAGACACCTGCAAGGTTTTGGGCTGGTCAACACGTAGTTGGGTCAAGGGTGGTGGTTGGTCGTCGCTTTCTTAGCGCTTTATGCAATTATCATATGCAAAGTTGATCAACACAAGCGCCCCGGTTTTCTGGATACAGTGATATCACATCCACAAAGTGTGTCTTGTAGCAATCACACCCCCTTCTGCCCCCTCTACTCCTCCTCCACCACCCACTCCAAGCCCGAAACGGTACTGCCAGAGTAATCAAAGTACCTTCGACGAGGCCTTTCACACCCAGATAAGCTCCACACCAGTCCCCCATTTGCTAGTCGCTCGCTCAATCGCTTCTCTTTTCCGGCGGCACCCAACTTGTCTTGCCCCGGTTCACCTCGGGAAAAAAGACACATCCGTCTTTCACAGCTGCCAGCCAGTTGCTGCAACCTGTCCACCTAAGAGCGGATAGAACTTCAAGGGCCATGAACGTTCCCACTTCATCCACCAACGACTTCGCCTTCAACTCCAACTCCAACTCCCAGCCGCAGCAACAGTACCAACAGCAGGCCCATTTCTCCTCTCGCCAGTTGCAGCTGCAACAGCAACAGCAACAACACCATCAACAGCAGCAGTACTCACTGCCGCCACCGCCGTCTCCCCCACCCGCGTCGTCTGCCACCGCGCAATCCCTCTCCGCCGCCCAGCAAGCCTTTGCACACGCGCAGTACCAACAGTTTGTCCTCATGAACGGAATGAACGGTGGCAATGTGCCCAACGGCATGGGCGGCGTGCCTACCCCCGCTGGCCAGCAGGCCGAGCTCAACTACATCTATAGCATGGTCGAGGAGCTCAGCCGACAGCTTGCGGAGAACCGTCGTGTTACCGAAGACATTGTGACCGGTCTTGGGAGAGTGCGTAGCCGCGCGAGGACGCAGGGGATGAGCAATGACGACCTCATCCACAACGCTGCCGATGATATTCACGGTATGGAGCATTACCTCGTCCACTTGCTTCGCATCGATATGCTGACCCCGTCTTAGCACAAGAACAGAATCTCGACACACTCATCTCCATCCTCTCAGAGTCCCTCGAGAAGGCAAAATACAGCCGCGACGCCAACGCGACCCTCCTGACCCAATACGCGACAGTCCTCGCTGCGATGCTGAAGCAATTCCACGAGTACAAGGCGAAGCACGTCACGGATGTCGCCGCGTGGCATCGCTCCTACCGCTCTCAGCTTGCCGAAGCGCGCGCCGAGAATAGCAGGCTCCGGGACCAGATCTGGGAGATGCAGGAGCGCGCGGGAAAAGCCAACGAGGCTTTGCGGAAGTTCCGCCGCAAGTACGACGAGAACGAGACGAGATGGGACCGGCGCGTCGAAGAGGTTGCCGCGCGTCAGGAGCTGCGTTTCTGGAAACGAATGGCCATGCCCGAAGTCAGCGACGACGATCCCTGCTGGAGCGACGACGATGACCTCATCGACCCTGCGGAGAAGGAGCGGCAGAAGGAGCTGGAAAAGAGGGCCGCTCAGGAGCAACTTGCTGGGAGCCAGCAGATGGGCGATGAATACTCGCGTTCACAGTCGCCGGAGTCTAGCATGATGGGCGGCGTCCCCATGCAGCGAGATCTGGGTATTCCTATGGGCATGCCTGTACCTCCACCACGGCCCTCGAGCGCGACATCCAGTACCGGCTCTTCTGGCCAATGATATCGAAAAATAGCGTTTGGAATTTGAGAAGCATGCTATCGGGCATCACAGGCGCAATGGGCATTTCGGGTAAAAGAAATGTGCGGCGTTGGGTATAGGGTCTGGGACGGGAGGAACGCTTGAAGTCGAGCGATTGCATTATACCTCATGTTACACTTGCCAAGCAGCTTGCCTGTGGGCCAGCATTGTCACGAATACCCTAATGGTTTGTTGGAACGGACGACTTGATGATATCCTGTTTCAAATATATACCGCGGTTGCCGCACTCGGGGAACACTACAATACGAACTGACACTTTCTCACCGGAACGCCTGATGTTATCAGGCGCATAACCCCCCCCCCCCCCGACCTCGTATCTTTTGGGCCTTCTCCGCCCTTCCACCCCCGCCGTGCATACGACGAAAGTAACGAGGGAAATGACTATATCTTGACAGCTACACCAACAGGTGCTTCTATGCTGTCCGAGCTGGCGCTGTCCATATAGAGGCGGATGCCCGTCCGCACGTCGACCTGGTCCAAAGGAATCAAAACGGGCTGCTTGAGCTTCTTGATCATGAATTGCCAGAGCCGGTAGCCAGAGTAGAGAACGACTGGGATCGCGGTGCCTATGTTGTCACGAATGATGGCCTGAGCATCATGGTTTTCAACGGGCCAAATCGCCGTCAGGACGTTGGCGAACAGTCCTACGACACAAATTGCAACTCCAAGCCAGGCACCCCAAACACCAAAGGGGCTGTTCCAAAGGAGCGTTTTATGGTCATGTCCTTGGGCAGCCCACGCCTTGCGGAAGCGAATGTGACTCACGCAGATGGAGGCCCACGTGTAGTAGTTGCTGGCCCCCGAGAGGCTCAATAACCAGTCAAAGATTGCACCACCGCCGGGCGCCAGGTTGACAAACGCAAGCAGGCCAAAGACGAAGGTGACGAAGAAGGCATACACCGGCACACCCCACTTGACCGTGGCGCCCCAGCGGGGACCCATGCCCCTCTCGCAGAGAGCCTGGAATGCACGGCTGGCGGCGAAGATGCTGGTGTTGGCCATGGAGACGATGGCGACGACGATTAGGGCGTTGAAGAAGCTTGGAAGGTGCCGAATGTTGGCGAGCTCGGCTGCCAGCGTGAATGGGCTGTACTTTGCGCCGTGGCCGGTCGAAGCCAGGCCCGGGTGGTTCGAGGGCACGACGAAGCCGAGAAGAAGGAGCGATACGATGTAGAAGAAGAAGATACGGGCGAAGACAACCTTGGTGGCGAGGGGGAGCGCTTTTTGCGGGTTTTTGCACTCGGCTGCCGTCATGCCCAGGAGCTCCGTGCCTCCGTACGACATACCGGCGACGCGAAATACCATGAGAAAGCCCGAAAAGCCGTTGCTCACCGCGCCGGGGTCGTGCCAGAACTTGGCTCCCGTTCCGTGTCTGCGAGAAGTTAGCCATTTTTGACCGAATGACCGGGGGAGGGAATGTAAGAGACGTACCGAGGGTCTGATGGCACGGCGCCGGTGATGATGAAGATGGCCACAAAGATGAAGACAGTGACGGCAAGGGCCTTGCAGATGCCGAAGGCGTGCTCGAACTCGCCGAACCACTTGGATCCGAGAAACGAGGTGCCCGTCAAAGTGATAAGGATGGGCGTTATAATGTAGGCCGGCTGCAGGTCTGGAACCCAGTACCCCATCTGCGCGGCTATGACGGTGAGCTCGAAGGGAAAGACGATGAGCCAGTTAAAGACAAAGTTCCAACCCATGGCGAAACCCCAGGGCTCGGATATCATGCGTCTAGAATATTCGTAAAAGGCGCCGGCTACTGGGAATGTAGCTACACACACATTGTGAGCAATGTACTCCGCCATTGGTGTCTGTCAAGGTAGGTCTGAGAGAATGTGCATGGGAATTCGTGAGGTATGTTGTAAACAGTGACAGAGTAGAGAAGCGACTCACCTGCTAGTTCTCCCAGACATCCCATCGTACAAGTAACACCGAGACCGACAATCGCAAAGTTGGCGACCAGAGACAGCGGTCCACCGGCGCTAAGGGCCGCGCCGGATCCAACAAACAAGCCAGCGCCGATGGAGCCTCCTAAAGCCATGAATATCATTTGCCGAATGCTGATGTTTCGCTTCAACTTGTCGCCCTCGGTGGTAGGGGCAATTTCAACACTGGCAGATCCGCTGGGCATCCTTGAGCCCATGGCTATGGCCTCGATCGTTGTTGTCGTAACCTCCTCTGACTTATCACCATCGGCTTCCGGGAGCGACATATCGATAGGACGAAGATGGACTATATGTAAAAACAGAGTACGGCTATCGAGGCAGAAACAGAAGCCAAAGTACTGATGATGGAAGATGGATGGACCGAAGGGAGTAGGAGAGAATTTGCTGGATAAGGAAAGGATGGCTTCTATATATACCTATGGGTAGAAGTGCATGCAATGGCTTTGGAGAGAAGTTGAGGAGGCGCAATGAGAACAAGACCGCAGTAGAACCCTTTTTGGCTGCGGCGGAAGAGATAGTGACAGGGAGCGTGGGACTGGAGTACCTGGTCAAGAAGTGGAAGGCGTCTTCAAGCATATAAGGTTCTGAAGGCGTGTGTTCTTGGCCGTTGCCGTTATCATGTTTAGGCGGCAACCATAGGGTTGCTGCTTCCTGTTTTGAGATCTGTCTATGGTAGGTGACATCCCCCCGCCCGATTCGCTCACTGTGGTTTTGTCGCCCGTAGTGTCGATTTCGGAGAGAGATATCCTGACTTCCAGGTCCTCAGCCTAGCCTAGCTACGGATATCGCTCTGTCGGCGCTGATAAAGGTAAAGATGAGCCGGGACCTCACCTGATCATGGCGAAAAGGGGTGCGGAGACGTTGTCCCTCTGATGTTCTGACAAGTACACACCGACTTTCTGGCTAGCATTTGAAAAGCATTCCCTTACGAAAATATGGATTCTGGAATGATGGTAAAGCTGAAGATAATTATTCCTCCTTACGGCGTATTTATATTCGCAGGTTCACTGAACTGCAGAGCCGTCCCCGTGAGGCCATTCGGACTTGCAATCACGTCAACAATGTGTACCCAGGGTGCTAAACTCAGATCAGCATCGCGATCCTATCAAGGTCGATGCGCTCTGAATAGTTTGGTACGAACTGGCCCCCCGCGAACTCAAAGAAACCCTCGCAATAGGTTTGGCTCCTCTTCAGCTGTGGAATTGGCGCCACCCTGTGACGCTTCCACGGCACCTGGACGGCTTTCACTGGAACAAGATTGCGAGATAGGCTAGAACCAGGATGTCTAGCTGTGGGTGACGCAGTTATGCATGGAGGGATGTGTGGGGTGCTTCAATGTGGATTTGCTTGCTCAGACGTCCAAAATTCTGTGCACAAATTCGAGTTGGTTTTGGTCCTGCATCTCAACGCCATAGCGGACTTCAATGTCTGGAGACAAAAGAAGTATCAATTTGTAGGGGCGTCGAACCCCGCCCTTACTATCCCAACCTGATCAGTCGTAATATTGTACAAGCACGTAAATCAATAGAGCATGCCCCGGGTTCTTGGGAAACCGGACTCCTTCCAGGTCTAGTATCCACTCTGCTCCCGACGTTGGTCATCCTCCTCATCATCCTTCGGACCATTGGCTGCCTCTCCGGCGTCCTTGATGGCCTGCTCGTCGCCTCTGAGCTTGGCAAAGTAAGACTTAATATCCTCTGCGCCGATCGCTTGGCCGCTCTCTGCAAATTGTTGGAAGAATGGCTTCAGCTGCTCCTTGAGGTGGTTGTACGCCATGACACCCTCGATTGCACGAACGCGGTCAACGTTTCGTAGAGCACTCTCACCACGCTCAAGAAGGCTGCCGCTACCATTGGTCGACCCACCGTGCTCTGAGTTTGCGCCATCTGAAAGTGGTGGCTCGTACGTCTCCTCCTCCTCCAGCAGTTGCGGGTGGGGATCCAGGTTGCGGTAGCACGACGAGCAACGGCAGAAATTGTTACGGAAATCCTCTTTCATGAAGAGCGAGAACTCTCCGCGTGGCGGAGGTGGAAGTGCTGCCCACTTGCAAGTCGACACGGCTTCATTGGGCTCTTCCTTGGCCTCTGTAGCTCTGCTGTCAGGTCCGTCCTCTGATGGCTCGGAATCGCCCTTCAGTCGCTTAAACTCCGGTTCAGCACCGTCGTCATCCGCCTTACGCTTCCTGGTAGTTTCTTCTGAGATTGAGACGTCTTCCTGCTTCTGACTTGAGAAAACTGCGGGCAAGAACCCCTTGGCACCGGCGTATTTCTTGATCCATGGATTGGCGTTGACACATTTGTAGCAGAGGAACGCATCGAAGTCGTCTTCGCCTGGGAAGCCGGGTGGCATTGGCGGATCGTCGTCGTCGTCTTCCTCCTCTTCCTTGGGCCCAACAGCAGCTGGCGCCGCCCCCACTGCCCCCGCCGCCTCCGCTGGGCGCGCTTCTGAATCCTCCGAGATTGTCGGCAAAGCTGCATCGTCTGTAATCTCATCCTTGGATTTGGAATCCTTCTCCCTCTTCATGCCCTCGAACCAGTTGGGGCCTAATCCAACCAAGCAGCCGGGGTGATACCAATCTTCGCCACAGCCACCAGTCTCAGCCGTCCCCAAACCTAAGCACTGAAACATGGTGCCCTTTTGCTGGAATGGGTCATAATCACACTCGCATGCACAGAACCTATTCCTAAAGTTCTGATTGTACTTGTTGTTCGCATCCGGTTCCTCCGAATGAACGCCGCCCTTGGTGTTGTTGACGGAGTTGATTCGCAAGCTACAGGGGCTTGTAGATGGATATCGCTTGGTGCCGCAATCGCATGTGAAGTTTCTCTTGGTGAAGATCTCAACAAGGGTGTGTTCGCCGTGGCACTGGACCGAGCACGCATAACAAACGCCTGCACTATTGTAGGCATCCTTCGGATTTGTAGGCGGCGGGTTGCAAGTCAAACAGGCAAAGACGCTCTGGCGAAGAGATCCGAGAATCTTGGTGCAGTTCTCGATGCTCTATATACAGTCAGACTGGTCATTCGATTGGCAGATGAAGTGTGCGTGCGGAGAGGACGAACGTAGGGAAGAGCTTCGCGCGCGTCGGCTTCCAGTTGCATCTGATCGCGGATGAATCTAGAGAAGCTAGAGTTAGCTTGAGAAAACAACATTCGATGGTATTGGGATTTCGGCGCACTCAGCAGCAGTTTGAGAGTCGTTGGATTTGTGCGACGAGAAGCTCTCGCTTCGCGCAGCCTTTGGCGCGCCAGTAGGAACAGCACCATCAAAGTCGCCAGACGCAGCTGGTGGCGGAGGGGGCTCCATTGACATTTTGGCAATGAATCAATCTGCGATGGGCTCCAAGGGTGAAAATGCGATTGCAAATTATATTCCTGGTCGTAGGAGGAAACAGGCAGGGCAGGAGAATAAGAGGTCGTGGGACAAGACAGCAATCATCCCAGGTCTCTATAAGCATTGTGACGCCGCGTTGAGGAACGGTACGTCAGATACGTACCGCAGCTTCAAGCTTATCCTGCAGCAGCTGCCCACAATTGCCCATTTACGCGTCGTCCATATCAGGAAAGGTGCCACTTTACGCGCTCACCCCTGACGCGGTTCCCCCTGGCGACGCGGATGGGTCCTCGTTCTAATTTCGCACTCCTGCCCCCTCCCATTTCTGCACCCCCTCTCCTTCACCATTTTTCGACGATTACGTCGCAAACATTAGCATTTAACAAGAGGGCCAGCCTACCGCTGTATAGTGCCTCTTTTCAATCCGCAATCATGAGGTAAGTTCTCTGAAACCACTCCTCTGACCTTGAATCTGGGTCGCTCCACACTGGAGTGCGTGAGAAAAAGAAGAAAAAAACAGTTGAGTGCTGACCGTCAACTCCAGTTCTCCTCTCAGAAGCAACCCGAGTTCCGCCAACAGAGGGACACCCAATAGATCCAGTCGCAAGCGCGGTCGTACAAATGGCGACGATGGGTCACCGGCTGTTCCAGGATCGAGTCCCATGCCATCGTCTCCCCCGGCACCTCTCATGGCGCATGGCGGTGACGATGATGAGGACATAGAAGACGAGGCCGAGATCCAGGACAACGATTTGGATGAAATGGATGAGATGGCTGAAGACGAGGTCGACCTTTTCAGAGAGGGTTTCGAGCAGGATTACAGAGCCAAGGAAGACGATGGATACGAAGGCATTGATATCGATGACGAGGGCGATTATGGCGACATGGATCTCGCTGAAAGGCGGAGGCTCGAGGCCCAGCTCAACCGCAGAGACAGAGAAGTTGCCCGTCGTCAACGAATCCCCGCCGCTTTTCTTCCGGGCGAAGACGATGAAGGCGACATTGATCTTTCGGCTCAACCCCGACGCCGCCGCCATCATTACGATGAAGACCCCGACGAAGACATGGATGCCGATATTATGGACGAGGAACTTTCTCTCGAGGCCCTCCAAGATGTCAAGGCCGCCAGTCTGACCGAATGGGTGTCTCAACCATTTGTTCAGCGAACCATCAAGAGAGAGTTCAAAGCTTTCTTGACGGAGTACACCGACGAGCATGGCTCTTCAGTCTATGGCAACCGTATCCGGACGCTTGGTGAGGTCAATGCCGAGTCTCTCGAGGTTTCTTATGAGCATCTCTCCACATCCAAGGCCATTCTGGCCTACTTCTTGGCCAACGCCCCGGCCGAGATGCTGAAGCTCTTCGACGAGGTGGCCATGGATGTTGTGCTCCTTCACTACCCCGACTACGAGCGCATCCATGCTGAGATCCACGTCCGCATTTTCGACCTTCCTGTCCATTACACCTTGAGACAGCTTCGTCAATCGCACCTGAACTGTTTGGTACGTGTCAGTGGTGTCGTGACGAAGAGAACAGGCGTCTTCCCTCAGCTCAAGTATGTCAAGTTTGACTGCACCAAGTGCGGTATTACTCTTGGCCCTTTCCAACAGGAGTCCAACGTTGAAGTAAAGATTTCGTACTGCCAAGCCTGCCAGTCTCGGGGTCCCTTTACGCTCAACTCGGAGAAGACCGTGTACCGCAACTACCAGAAGCTCACCCTTCAAGAGTCCCCTGGCACGGTCCCGGCCGGTCGCTTGCCTCGCCACAGGGACGTCATCCTTCTTTGGGACCTCATTGATAAGGCTAAGCCTGGTGAAGAAATCGAGGTAACCGGTGTTTACCGAAACAACTACGACGCTCAGTTGAATAATAGAAACGGCTTTCCCGTTTTCGCTACAATTCTCGAAGCAAACAACGTCATCAAGTCTCATGACCAGCTGGCAGGTTTCCGCATGACAGAGGAGGATGAGAACGAAATTCGCAAGCTTTCGAGAGAGCCCGGCATCATCGACAAGATCATCAACTCCATCGCTCCAAGTATTTACGGCCACACGGATATAAAAACGGCCGTTGCGCTGTCCTTGTTCGGCGGAGTTGCCAAGGTAGGACGCGGTTCTCACCAAGTCCGCGGTGACATCAACGTTCTGCTTCTGGGTGACCCTGGTACCGCCAAATCTCAAGTTCTCAAATATGTTGAAAAGACGGCTCATAGGGCCGTCTTTGCAACGGGCCAAGGTGCTAGTGCTGTTGGATTGACGGCCAGTGTCCGACGAGACCCGCTGACCAGCGAATGGACTCTGGAGGGTGGTGCCTTGGTGCTGGCGGACAAGGGTACGTGCCTGATTGACGAGTTTGACAAGATGAACGACCAAGACCGAACATCTATCCACGAAGCCATGGAACAACAGACCATCTCTATCTCCAAGGCCGGTATTGTGACGACTCTCCAGGCTCGTTGCGGTATCATCGCGGCTGCCAACCCAATCGGTGGGCGGTACAACTCTACCATACCCTTTTCCGCCAACGTCGAACTCACCGAGCCCATTCTTTCCCGTTTCGACATTCTATGTGTAGTCCGAGATACCGTTGAGCCCGAAGAGGATGAGCGCCTTGCTCGCTTCATTGTTGGCTCACACAGCCGCAGCCATCCTTCGTCATCACAGGCTGCGGAGGACTCGATGGAAGTCGAGCACGAGTCAGAGAACCGGGAAACACAATCCGAGACTCAGAGAAAGGAGGGCGAAATTCCCCAGGAACTTCTCCGCAAGTACATTTTGTATGCGCGCGACCGCGTCAGTCCGAAGTTGTACAACATGGACGAGGACAAGGTCGCTCGTCTGTTTGCTGACATGAGAAGAGAGTCTTTGGCCACCGGCGCATACCCCATTACTGTAAGCCCCCCTTGTTTGAAACCCCAGTGAGTTCAAAGGCGCTAATTGAGCTTCAGGTGCGCCATCTTGAGGCTATCATCCGCATCAGTGAGGGCTTTGCGAAGATGAGACTCTCGGAGTACTGCAAAGCGGAGGATATTGACAGAGCCATCGCTGTGACAGTCGAGAGCTTTGTCGGCAGCCAAAAGGTTAGCTGCAAGAAGGCGTTGGCACGAGCTTTCGCAAAGTACACATTGAACAAGCCGAAGGGAAACTGGCAAAGGAGGACCGGGGGTAGTCAGGCATCGAGACACGCAGGCGTCATGCGAGCTTGATTTGATCAACCCATTTTGAGGATCATGTTTTGCATTTTCACGATGGGGGCGGAACTTTGATGTACAGGCACAATAGGCCGGCGGCGATCGGCGCAGAGGCGAAGCGCACATGTCCAGGATGGATAATTGATGGATGATATCGGGGTAATGCGAACAGCGGCTACGTTTTTGTTGTTGCAATGGTTTTGTGTATAATTTTGACCCTGTCGCGCATGGTGAGTTGTTGCTGTCGCTGGTCGTGCAATTGGCCATCTATCGAGTGACATGCAATTTCTCTGACGTCAATTCATGACCAATCAGGGATGGAAAAAAAGGAGATGGCGAGTGATGGGGACACATATTGAGCATTCCATATGGACGTCCACTGCAGCAAGCAGCAATCCAGAAGAAGTATGACTTCTATTTCACAACAGCATCTACAGTTTCTCGTGTACCCCTCCATGCCCCTTCATCGTCATACTTGTATGGATACTTTGCAATCTGTTGCTGAGCGTTTGTAAATGAATCGTCCGGTTTTTTGTTGCCTCGGAATCAGTGTCTCGGTCAAATTCCTAAGGAAAGTCTGAGGATGGTAGCGATAATGCTTGGTTCTCGCTGCCAAGTAGATGAGTGTCTGTGATTACGGATTCAATGATGACGATGAACGTAATTCAACTATGGGATGACATGGCTAGAAGCTACTAACCGGGAAGGTGAAGCCGTCGTGATGACCCCTACTTGAGAGAAGCGATTATGCAAAGACGGAAATCCCTTCTGATGTGGCGGTGGGATGATGACCTCTTCCGGGCCCTCAATGTATTCTCACCTGCAACATCACGGCATGTGTTGAAAAACGGGAAAAGGCGCAAAATTGTTTCCTCCAGTTCGATGCAGGTAGTCACCATAAAGCTTGGTAATGAACTCGTTGTCGTTCGCATGGCACACGTTGTCCGGCACAGTTCAACCAACCACGCAAAATGACCAATCGTCAATACATCTGAACCTGGGTTTAGAGTTCTCACCCGAAAAGGATTGACGACTGAGCAGACGCACACTCTTCTTTCTTGCTGTTCTCCTTACCCGCAACCTGAATCTCACAAACATCCCATAGACTCATTTACCTCATGCAATTCCTCTTTTCTTGTGTCAAGTCTAGGCCTCCCTGTGCAACTGTTTGTCAGTCCGGATTCGGAAAGGCGCCCCTTTGATCTACATTTTACCTGCCGAAGGAAACGTAACCAAGACTCATTTACAAACGTCTTCGGATGTCAGCCCACAGGCTTGATCCTGCACTCCGTTTCCAATCTCATGTAAACAATGCTGTCCGATTTGTTTGTTCTTGTGCCACGTTTGTGTTACACCATCCCTTCCCCCCTCCCCCAAAGATATCTCGCCATGTTCAGCGCCATCACTGATTCAACGACCGCTAGCGTGCACATGCGTGCCTTCAAGAGGATATTCTTCATCCCTTAGCCTACAGAGCATTCCTCGACTGACAACCGGCCCCGTCGACGACCCTCGCTTCTGGGATCGATCCGCAAATAGGTACACAGGCAAGCCACCCCTCGGTCAAGATCCATTTCCCAAATGTCTGACGATGCTGTCATCCTTTGAGGCCCCGCACCCTCAAACAATGTCTCGTTGGATGATCAGTCTGCCATGTTTGCCCAATAGCCATCACACACCTTCCTTGATCTTCGCTGACGCCCACTCCATAGAAAGCCGTCGTGGCCGTGTCCCTTCTCCCCCTTACCCCGGTCGCTGAAGGGGGTGGAAGAACTTCACCTGTTCAACCCACAAACAACGCACGGCAAGTTCTTGCCCTCCGAAAAGTTTCTTTCGTCGTCCTCCAACTCCCTACGACATGGTCATGACCTAATGCTACCCGGCACCGGTGTCGACCTTTGAACATCAAGTAGCGCCGCGCAAAACTAAACTACGCACGCAACAGAGACCTCCAGCATTTGTCTAATAGGCCCTCTCCGAATCCCATTTAGGAGCATCATGAGCCGAATGCTCTTGGCACGCGTCCCCGTCGGTGCTAAAAGCAGCTCTCCCACGACTCCTGGTTCGAACAGTGTCCTTTGTATTACACCCGAGTCCGATTATACATCTCCACGAAGAGAAGAGGGGTGTGCTTGGCCGCCGAACCCGGATCACGACCTCATATCACCGCTAGAGTCGACTCCACCATCGCCCAGTGTGTTGGGATTTGCAACACCAAAGTCCAAACACTCGATGGCCTGGGACGACCCACCAAAGTCTTCCGCTCCATGGCACGATGCCGATGCCGAAGAGATGGGGGATCTGGGGCGCGGGGCGCTCAGCAAAGACGAAAGCCAATGCCACAGCATACCAATAGCAACGGGGAGTATGCCAAATCCACCGAGACCGGAAGGCGACTTTGTCGATGAGCCTGGTCGGATGGACGGCGATGAGATGCTGTACAAGAGATTCAGTGAGTTCTCCTACGTCGTTGTAACTTCACCGCAGCCAGCACCTTCTAAAAGAAAACCCAGGCCGTCCGCCAACTTACTGTGACTCGCGAAACGACGTCCACAGAAAAAAGCACAATTGGCTCTCCCTGTCGATCCTGGCTCTGTCAATATACTCCACAGGCCTCAGCTGCCTCTGGTTCATCGTGGCTATCGTTCAGCCGCGATGGGGACCGCAGATATCCTCAAGCGGCGGGATCCTCCCGTCAACGGCGTCCCTAGTGTGTGCCATGTTTGCCAAGACGATTGAAATATCATTCGTAACCGTCTTCGTGACCTTCATCGGCCAGGTCCTGACGCGCCGCGCTTTCGTAAAGAAGTCCAAGGGCATGACGTTGGCCGAAATGACGATGAGGAACTGGGTCATTGTGAGTTCAAGTATGCCTCCTTCTCTGGTATGGGGGATGACCTGACTCGATAAAGCAACCAGGGTTCCTGATTACACACTCGGAGACGCTGCCTTACGCCGGGATGACGTTGCTCGGGGTGGTTTCTCTTGTCGCGACGATTGCGTCGACGTTCTACACGACCGCGTCCGATGCTTTGGTTGCCCCCAAGCTGAAATTCGGTGGCTGGGAGAGTAAAACGCTGAGCGGCTACGTCTTGGCCTCCTACGCAAATCCTCCCTTTGCTCGTGAGAGCTGCCAGACACCACTGCGAGACAGCGACCCCGCGGGCGTTGACACTGCTGGGCGTGCTTGTCTCGAAGTGCAGTATGCAGGACAGTGTAAGTGGGTTTATGGAGCGGGTGTGCCGTGTGAAGATAAGGCACTGATCATCTCTCTCCAGCTTACCGTAATTTGATGTCCTTCATGGGCGACTGGGACGCCATCAACAGAAACGGCACGAGCGCTACCGTCGACATCTCGCACCGTCCCGTGGGAACGGCCCTTCTGTATGACAACACGACACTGACGTCGGCGTGGATCGAGCTCGAGTTTAGCAACACGACCAAGAACTTTGAGGAACACGGCAGGATAGTTAACAATGTCACTCTCGCGATGCCTCACCCAAGCGTGTACGACGCGGCCACGAACCCGGTGAACAAGATCCTCCAGCCGAACGACTTGTCTGGTGTGGGAGAGTACGCCATCAAGGCGAGCGTCGTATCCCCCGCGCTCAACGTCATGTGTGTCAACATGTCGCCGGACGAACTTGCGCCCTTGGTCTATACGGAATGGCCCATGGGCAAGATCAACTCCAATGACACGTTGGTCCCGGGTCAGAGGATTGGCCCGCTGGACTGGGAGCAATATGTGCCGGGGCTTTCGGAGACAGAGTGGCTCAACCGGACGTTGGCGGATAGCATCTTTCGCTGGGGGGAGCAGTACAACCGACGACCTCCCGTGTTCCAGCTCGTGAGTGGCTCAAGCAAGAAATGCGGACGATGCGGCTGCTAACAGTTTACCAAAATCCCAGTACCCCGCAGATTTCAACATGGTGACCAACACCACCGCTGCGAACGATGCTATCTATGTCCTGACGAAATCGGCGTTCATCACAAACTATACTCTCTGCGAGATGCGTTCGTGGGTATCGCCGCTCTGCTCAACGCACTTCAACATCTCCGGCACCGCGGGGGCGCACATGCAAGCCCACTGCGATGATCCCGAGGACAAGGACAGCTACAACCACGTCCACCCAGAGGTCACGTTCTCCGTGCCCGTGGTTGATTGGAAGGTAAGGATCCATGCCTGACGGGCATATACCTATACATGCGGACGCTCGTTGACCTTGGCCCTAGAACATTGCAGAGCAATGGCGCCTTTCCATGGACATCAACGGCGGCGCCCAGAACAACAACGCCTCCAACGCCCGCATCCTCACGCAGTTTGTCCTTGGGGAACCGCATCTCAACCCCCTCCTCCCCTCCATGGCGGAAGCTCTGGCCGTCTACGCCTCCTCCACGCTCATCATCGGTGGCCACGGCACGCCGTTTGAGCACTACTGGCGGCACGAGAAGGCGGAGCTCGGCGCCCCCGGCGCTCTGGACCCGTTTCAGGCCTCGATTCGCACGCAGGAGTACACCTCGGGCCACGTGGCGGAGTGGCAAAAGGTGTTCTACCTGGTCCTCTTCCTCGTCGTGGTCATAAACGTCGTCTGCCTCGCCTACTTCCTCGCGCGGTCCGGGCTGGTCACCGACTTCACCGAGCCGCAGAACCTCTTCGCCCTGGCCGTCAACTCGCCGCCCAGCGAGCAGATCAAGGGCAGCTGCGGCGGCGGACCGGTGAAGCGCGACCTCGTGGTGCCGTGGCGCGTGGCCTACGCGAACGTCGCAAACCACTACTTCTTTGAAGAGGCGAGCGACCGGCCGTGGCGGGGCAAGTATGCCGGGCAGGACTTGTTGTCGGTAGATACGGCATATCGCGGGCGGCAGAGGAGCAGCTACGGCAGGCTGAGCACAAGCGGTTCGTGGATGCCACAAGCATGGCAAGCCAAGCTGTCTAAGCTGCGTTAGCTGTGCGCCTTGGTCACAAAGTTCAAGCAACCCGGTTCTCCAGCCAAGCATGAGCCGGGCGCCCAAGCCCTCGGAAGCCTCAGTGTAAATAATAATCAGTCTTGTCTATACAGACACAGACGCCATTCGGGAGAGGAAAGCACAGCCGTTATGTGCCGGAGCAAACCTGCCCGCTGGCTAACTGGATCGTATCGGCAGGTGTGGATAGATTGAATGAGGGCAGAGAGCTCCAAGGCGTCGGCAAGAGTATTATGTCATAAATGGCGGCCCCTTTTTGAAACCAGAACGAGAGCAGCTCGTCTCGTACGCATGCTCCAAAACACAACACGTGCTATACTTGGTTGGGTCATCATGAGATACACCAGAATTAATAGACCAGGACAGAACCATGGGCTTCAGGTTGGCACTGTACGTTGGGGTAATGATATCTGTGTATTCGTAACGCCTGTTCAATATTGACTGTTTTTCCTGAAGCGAGCATAGCCTCCATCATGTGGGACAAGGTCTGGTGGTCAGGTCGGGGGGGTGGGGGCTGGCTGTACATAAGGTTGATCTAGATGGTGGGTGGTGGGCTCCGGTATTGGTTTTCTTAGCTCGGACCTCCACGATGGCCGGATCCAATTGGCAACGACACGCAGGTCGGGAAGGGGTCTCGTGGCGTTTTGACCCGGAAACACGTGTGGATGTGCCCGGACAGCCATTTTTTTGTTTTGGAGTTTCAATCGACACCGGCCGGTGGACTCAGGTGGCTGCACCCCGACGCAGATAAACTCACACACAGACACAGACACTGTCAGGGACTGTATCGTCGGACAGAAGCATTGGGGACAGGCAAGATGGCGTTGCGTGGTCCAAGTCGCGCAATCATCGTCGCAGCATTCATCAGACTCCTTCCATTGCCGCCGGCCCATGCCATGCCCTGCAGTGTTAGTTTGGTATCGTGACTCGAGGTCGGCGTCTTCCGAGCCTGTGCCCACCACCCCTTGCCGTCTTTTCGCATGTCCTTGCACGAACTGGGGTCAAATCACTGAGGGAAGAAGAGTGTAGTGTCAAGGAAGACGTGAGGAGTTTGCATTCTTGCCCACCAATAGAGGAGAGAAACATGAAGAGGGAAAAAAAAAGGCGGCATTAATGGCACGCTCTCGGCCGGCATGGACAAGGTGGTTCCCGGCAACCAACGTGTTGGAGAAAAGGAGGCTGTGCAAGCGATTCCGCAAACCTTGTTGCTTCATACCACCCTGTACGATGGATGGTTTAGATAGTTTGTTGTAAACTACAAGTATATTGCTTGCTACCTGTGCCCGAGGTGGAAGTCCTCTTTGCCTCCGTACCTACCGATGTGCCGATGTAATGGTCTGCCTGGCCCTGGCGGGGGGAGGGGGGCATGTGGCCAAACTGGCACGATCCATCCCATCGTCTAAACATTGATTGATCTGCTGTTGATGTCTTGACGTGTCTGGTATCGGAACGACTTGCCGTCCTCTCACTTCCTCATTTCGCTCCATGGCGCCCACATCGTCGACCTTCACCCCCAACTGCGCCGCCTATAGTATCCACCGTCTGTGTCACGCACGCAGGAGAGGGACGGTCAGCCGTGGCTTGAAGCCTCTCCCGGTGCCCCAGGGTCATTAAACCAACTCAAACACTGGTGTTCCAATCCCTGAAGCCCTGAAGAGTCCCCCTTCTCGAGCTCAAACTCAAAACAGCTTATGCTCCCGCACAGCAACCGCAGAAGACGCCATCTCGGCCAAGTCTCCCCGACGCTTGCGGCAGTATCTGCGCGGATCGTTCCAGCTGCTGACCCCGTGTATGGGTGGGTGTACACACATTGCTCTCTGTTTCGACATTTTCCGGCCTCAACTGAGCTTTTCTCTTTCTTTCTTTCCTTCATTCTCTCACTCGCTCGCTCACCACTCTTTCGCTCTCCTCCCTGTCCATCCTGTCCCCTCCTCTAATCGACCTCGATTTCCATAACTCTGCAACCTCGTCACATCTGCTCCTGCGGCTGTGGAGCATCGTTTCTCTCATCTGCTCCGCTCTGCCGGGTTTTGCATTCTGCATCCTGCACCCGCAACGGCATCAGCACCGCCGCCCAATCCCTCGCATCGCCCCGGCCGACCCCAACACCCAGACCTTGGACTGTGGTCTTGGCATTCTCGGCTCAAAACATTGGCATCCCATTTCATTCCAGCCAGCCCGCTCGCCTTCGAACACGAGGGTGTGGGCGATACTCCCAGGTCCTTCCATTCCGCTTCGGATCAATCCGACACTCGATAGGATACGACAGCAAAAGAGGACGAGAAAAATAAAGGTCCAAACCTTGCTCACTTCAGCAACCGTTCTCGGCCTGTCGCAGACTGCGACGCAACGCTTTTCCGCAAGCCGTCGTCCCGATAAAACAGAAGACGAGAAAGTGGCGCAGGGACAGACGTAAAAACCCAGAACCAGAAGACGCCGAGAACCCGGTCTAATCTCACATTCCACCTTCTTCCTATCTTCCTAGCAGCCCTGTTTTTTTCGTCTCCCTCATTGTCGAGGAATGCAAACCCTTCAACTCCGGATTCGACATACACGTCCTGACCGTCGTGATTGAAACCTCCCCGAGATTGACCGGGTGACGATATCAGAAACGATTCAAAGGCCACGACGGAAACCCCGAAACCCAACGACGGCGACGGTTTGAAGCGCGTGGAAGACACCGAGGGAGTTGAGAGTGAAAGATCACCAGGACAGTGATAATGCGTATGTCCCCGAGCCCCATCCCCGTCATTGCATCCGAAGATCACATGCGTCTGGAGTTTCTATCAGAATCCCCTCTGGCCGGCAACCGCACGGGAATCATATGCTCACACCGCAAGACAGCCTACTACGCCAGAACCAAGGGCCGAACGCAGGAGATCCCTCCCGACGGCTCCCGATCACCGCTGCCGCCCCGGCCATCATTCGGTGAGTTCCCGGCACCGACCTCTACCCACTTTCCTCCACCTTCCTAATCCTCTCATCCCCATCTCCGTCCGTCCTTCACCCGCTCGACTCTCTCCCCACGTACCCACCACAACATCCGCGACCCATTCGAGTGCGCTCGTCCTTTCTCTTCTCTCTCTCTAGCTCTTCTCCCCCTCTAGTGTAGACCCTTAGCAGAACACCACTGACACCCCACCAGGCCATCAAGTCTCGTCGCGCTCCCTGCCCGACCTGAGCGCCGACGTTCGCGCCGCCCTCGAGGCCCCCAAGCACGACGATGTCGCTTACCGTCACAGCGTCTGGACCCGCTGCCGGTGCTGCCGGCCCGGGCGCGGTCCTCTGGCGCTGCTGCGCCGCTTCGCCCTCGTCCCGCTCATCGACGCCCTGCAGTTCCTCGAGGAGGCGTCCGAATCCGTCCCGCCCGTCATGCCCGCCCTGGTGGCCTCCATATTCCTGCTGATCGCGCTGCCGCTGCTGATCGCCTGGGACTACCTATGAGCCGACGCCGGGTGGTGCACCCAGGCGGATGGAGGACCGTACTATCATCATTGTCATCATGACCATTATTATTATTATTATTATTATTACTCGGGAGGGTGCTACGGGCATGGGTGCTACGGCATTGGTGTTTCGTCAGTGTGCAACGGAGGACTCTCCGAAAAAAAAAAAGGACCGAGGGGCGTTCCCGGATAGATTCAGATGGGTGTCATACCAAATGCCGCGATACCTTGTAGGCGACGGGGGTTTTCCTTTTTTTCTGCCTTTTTCCATCATGATTTTTCCCACCACCACAGCGCAACAAACGAGCGAACATATCGCTCATATGACACCGACAGCCCCCAGTGGGCACCCCCCCTTTCATTCTGCTTTTATATTTTATATAGACGTGCTCGGCGGGGAAAAATCACAAAGTCGTGTTCAAAACTACTACCTCGTGTCCCTCCTTCTCCCCAACTCGGGACCCGTTGACACCATCTTGGATCCCCGTCATGACCTCCGTGGAACGGATCCTACCGATTTCGCCACGAGCCGGTGTAAGTGGACCGACCGACTTTCCCAACACGCCCAGTCCACGGCGCCGCGCGAACCTATCTTGACGTCGCACTCGTTCTTCTCTCCCTCCGTGTTGTGTTCTCTTTGCAGGACGACGAGACTCGGGTGCGGTGACGGAGAGAGCCTTTGGATTTACTTGGGCCGCATGACTCTTACATCATGGCCCGCGAAGCAAAGGGGATTTTACGCCGCCGACGGCCGAGGAAAAAAAAAAAGAAACCCCCCCCCCCCCCCCTCACTCAGGTCCCTCCTCGGTCCCTGTCACCTTAGCCACCCAACTGACCACTCGGCCGCGCCCAAATCGGCATCATTCACACGCCATCGCACCAGCCATTTGGCGCCGACGCAACCTCATATGTAAACCAAACACGCCTCTCCGGTTAGGGTCTGGAAACGGACCACGGAGAAGCCACCCGGGAGAACCCCCTCTCCCCTCCTTCGTGATTTTGGACAACCAGGTTCGGGCCCGTGTACGTGCACGGTGCGGCGGGTGGGCGGGATCGCCGGGTCACGCGCCGCTGGGGGGAAAGGAGGGGGCAGGGCGGATCCATGAAGCACGCCAACCTAAATTCACCGACCGCCCTTTGGCGTTTCGATTGATGGACTGAGTGGGGCAGTGTGAGAAACGCGGTTCTCATCGGCGTTATGGATTTGGAGGAGGAGAGGTTTCTTTGGTCAAGTGACGTACTGTGTACGTCTAGAAGAGCGGCGCGGCGGTAGGGCGTTTTACGTCTCACATGGTTTTACACGAGGCAACCGCCATTCTCAGGAACGAAGGGTGTAGGTAGAGCTTCGTCAATCAATCACCCGGGCACATTATATTTCAGTGGTCGACTGCATCACAGGATAGACCCGGCCGGGTCGTCATTGCTCGGTGAACTCGGGCTTGCTAAGCCGCTGCCGCTCCGGACCAAGTTTTTGTTGGTATTTTGCTTCTACTTCCCGACTATGCACCATCAGGAAGCATGCGACTGAAAAAGGATACCGACGTTGTCTGCCAGAAACCTGGCCCTCTTGGCCAGCAAAGTGACGCTTCGACGGAAGAGAGCCGGGGCCATGCAAGTCTGGCATGGAGGAGGGGTCAAGTCCTGTAGGCTGTTGCGCAAAACCCTCGTGGGTGGAAGCCAAGCTGCGGCAATGCCAAGCCTCCCTTGTGAAAGTCTCTTGAGATTGATGGCGTCTAGGCTGTCAGAAGGGTAGGTAGCTGGCAGCCATACCGTCTGATGTCCTAGTTTGATTGCACAAAACAAAACAAACAATAGGGCCACTTTTTCTTTGTTTTCTTCTTCTGTGATATGCGACACATGTCCAGGAATGCTCGCGTTGCCAGGGGATGGTCAAGTCAGACAAATGAGACGAACATCACGATGCGGAATTGCGAACAGGATCAGCAATGGTAATAAAAAAAGAGAGATACGCTTTGTGCAATGTGAAATAGGTATCATTAAAAATTGGTGTAGAATACGATTGCCGCGTCGCGGTTGATATGTGACCGCTCCCACGCATTATCCGGCTGGTCGTGGTGCTTGTATATGTAGCCCGGGCGTTTCCTTCGTGACCGCGTCTCTCATGAGACTCCAATCCTGCAGACGGTGACTTGGTTCGAGAATCGAAGGTCGGTGGTGATCCGTGATGGTGTAAATATGAACGATATCGACACATCAAGAGGCTGGCTCATTGACATGCACCGGCCTGAGCCCTCCTCGTGCGTGAGTGGGCCGAGAGAGTGGTCCACCCCGACTTCAAAGCTGCGTTCAGTCTGAAATCTTTTATTACTTTCGTCTGTTCTTTCTCATGCTCCCTGCTCCCGGGCGGGAAAGATGATGGCGTTTAGGCACGGGACTCGGTAGCCAGGCGCTTGGCCTTGCGGCGTGAGAGGCAGCGGGAAATACAAAGACCGGTGACGCCGACGGCGACGAGGAATACGATAGCGAAGACGACAATAACACCGGCCTCTTTGGAGGCCCAGTTCTCGCGCTTCGCGAGCTGGTGAACAGCGTCGCGGGCGATGATGGAGTTGATGACAGGCATTTTGAACGATATGAGTGCGAAGTCGGCTGGGGAATAAGAAGACTTGTCAGCAGGGAAGTCAAGAGGAGGAAAAGAAAACAGAAAGTATGACAGGCGAGTGAGTTAAGTATGAGAGAGAGAGAGAGAGAGAGAGAGAGAGTGTGTGTGTGTGTGTGTGGCCATGGCGACTGTCCACGACGGGCGGGCGTGGCGTGCCAAAGAGACCAGGCCAGGGTCAAGGAAAAACATGCCCATGAAGCAAGCGGGCGTGTAAGCTTGTCCATTTGAGGCATTTTATGGAGAGGCCGGTCCGTCACCTTTAGGAAGCCGAGCATGGGGAGCTCGGTATCCATTGTCATTACCGGGATATCCGACGTTCGCATACAAAATAGAAAGAAGCGAAGCTCGGCTGCTTTTCCTCACGGTTGCATCTCGCCGGTTTGGGCACTTTCTCGGGTGCGTCCAGTTTGGGAAGCACGGCGGCGAAGACTCAATCGAGAGGCCAGGGCAGTCGTCGCAGTTTTTGGCTCGCATATCTGGGGGATTGAGACATTGAGAGGGAACAAAATTACCTTTCCGATTAGGCCGCGTGTTCGGCGTCGAACGACAGAGTGAGGTGGAGAGGAGAAACCTGGTAAGTCGATCGCAGGGCGCTTAATGTCAGCGTGATTGAAACAAAAACCGGGGTTGGCTTGGCATCCGAAGCTCACGTTGATGTTGGGTTGAAGAACACGGGGCGAATTGAGAGATAGAGAGAGAGGATGGAAATTGACCGTCGTGATTGATGAGTCGTCGGGCGTGTTAAAGGATGAGGAGAAGGAGAGGGAAAACACTGGAAGGACGGAGTCGGTCGAGTGGAGTGACGAGAGGGCGGAGGTGATGGTAAATAGCTGGTCAAATAGTCGGGCGATCGCCAGGCGCGAGTGTGTGTGTCACTTCCTTTCGCCTGCTCTCCAATCCAAGTTGCTTGCTTTGCTCCATTGCGACCATACCTATACTTGTACATAGGTACCTACCTACCTGGATCTAGCATACGAAATACCAGGTGAGTAAGTACATACCTTACGAATGCTACACTACGTGCCCCGTCCTGCGTGCCTACCAACAGTATACCTACACTAGGTACATGACCGTCCACCGGAATTGCCCAAGACAGGAAGCCCTGGCATGTACCCATCCATACAGAGGCTGGTACCTCGGCATGCATGAGGCCTTCGTCTTAGCAAGCCATTGACAAGTCATGATCCGTAATGGCGAGGTGGGATCGGAGAGTGTGTTATGTCAGAGCAACGGCGCCAAGCGAGCAGGATAAAAAAGCTTGTCTCCATGGATGCCGGGAACACGGCAGGGTCAGAGGGCCTACCGCTGTGGAGAATCGGGTGTGCGGGCCTCCTAAGAGACCTACTGTACGGATACCTTAGTACCTACGTGCCTACCTACTTGGTAGCTCGTAGGTAGATGGACGTAGGTATTCGTGCAAGCACGCAGGGAATGAAATCTTGGTCTCCCGGAACGTCCCTTTTCCTTGCGCGAATTTCGGGCTTAGTTCTCGACACAACTCGTCCTCGACAATCAATCTACTGCCTGCGTACAAAGAAGGGATGACACCATTGGATGACATGGGTGACCTGACGAGGTCCGGAGCCGGGACGTGCACCGGGCCCCCCGGCACCCATTTTTCCTGGTGGGGTTTGCAGGGCCACTGGTTCGTTTCCTTCGTCCAGGTCCGCTCTACCTCGTGGCAGTAAGGGGTATCGCTGCCCTTCTCATGTACCGATGACAACGACGACAACAACAAGACTTCTTTTTTTTTTTTTTTTATACCTTTGCTGAGGCCTGGTTTGTAGTGGCCTACATACTCCGTACACTACCTAGGTAGGTAGGTACGCCCCTTCAGTCTTCACATACATAGTCTGACGGGGAACGATGATGGGGGTTTTGCGTAGTAATTCCATCGGCATCTACCTCACCGATGGGGCAACGGGGCTTATCTAGGTATGCTGGCCTCGATTCTCGATTGGGCCTGCTGCTCTTGTTTCCTTGGATCCGTCGTCGCCCGGCGTCGCCTTCACCGATAGGTGTGTTGTCGGGAGATTTCTCGGTAACATCACCAGGAAAACCGCCTTGCCCTACCTAGGTATGTGGTCCCTTGCCTTGGTTCGTCCTCCGTGGTCCTCTTTTTTCCCTCTTCCTCTTCTTTCTTAATTATTGTGTACACCCGGCGCGCAATTTGGCTCCCTCCCCTGCTTAGCCGGTTGAAAGGATTCCCCTTGTCGCTGCTGTTTGTGCGCGGACCTTTTCTCAGCGACGTGCGTCTTTCAATGACAGGATGTCGCCTCCAACAGCTTGCACAAGCCTTGGCAGGCCATCTGCAGCATTGGCTTCATTTCCACGAGGGCAAGGCTCGACGCCCTGCCCCCGAACTGCGCCCGGCCAAGCTGCTGCGGAGCGGTTGGCAAAGCATTGGCGACCTCTCTCTCTCTCTCTCTCTCTCTCTCTCTCTCTCTCTCTCTCTCTCTCTCTCTCTCTGTCTCTATCTCTCCAACAAGAGAATAGACCAAACCCGTGCTTGGACCAGTCATCTGACTGAGCCTCGGCCAAGCAAGAATGAAAATCACGGTGCTCAGCGATACGGGGCTGGTCAATCCCAGCCAGGTAACTCTTGATGCACATCCAACCATGGATAAATGAATAAACCACCCCACCAAAACAGACGATTACAAGGCATGCAGTCAGATAGAAGTTGATGGCGCCGCTCTCTTCTGTAACGCCCGACATCGTTTCGAACCTCGCGCCCACTGTCTCCCCGTTCGCTGGCAGCGTCACACCGGCAGCTTCTCTCGCGTCCACCGCTGACGCTCTCATTTGGTAGCGTAAAACCCTCATAGAAGAGCTCTCTAGCCTGGGGCGCTGTCGATTGTCGCTGTAAGCAACCTCGAAGCTCCACACGCGGCTCACGGGTGAGACCATGGGGTGGGCCCATTGGGTGTCCATCCGTAACAGTCCGAATCCCGTCGCCCGCCCGTTCCGCCCCAGTTCGATTTTTTATTTTATTTTATTTTATTTTATTTTATTTTATTTTATTTTATTTTATTTGATTTTATTTTATTTTATTTGATTTTATTTGATTTTATTTGATTTTATTTGATTTTATTTGATTTTATTTGATTTTATTTGATTTTATTTGATTTTTTCCCCCTGTCCTTTTCCTTTCCCCCTTCTACCCTTTTCTTCTTTCTCATTTTCCCCAAGCTTGTTCTAGTGGGGGTTCCATCTAGTCAGGCGCTTATTTCTCTGCTTAAATAATCGGCCCTGCAAATTAGCGTTTATGCCCACTGGCCCTCGCCCTCTTCGCTTCGAGAGCTCGCGGTTTGGTTGCCAGCCATCTCGGTCATCTGGGCTCCCTTCACGCTTTCCCCGCCGACTTCGCCTTGCCTTATGCACATAATACGAGTCCTACTACAAAAGGGGCCGTTGGGGATGCTGAGGGCATGATCAGTTCGTTCGCCCACGGCGTTTGTTCGCATTACGACCCGCTGTTGCTTTTCTATGACATGTTTTCTCAGGTCCTAACGGTCGGTCTATCTGCCCAGGTACCTAGGTACCTGAGGTATCAACAACGGACCACCAAACGGCGGGGCGTCTGCCGTCGGAGGTTGGGTGACTAATCATTATCGGGCTCGCCCCGATCGAAGAGTTCCTTCCTCCGGTACCCAGTAGAATCGCCTCGGGACACAGCTGCCTAACTGAAGGAACACTCTGGTGTAGGTACACTAGGTACTAAGGTAACGACAGTCTGACCAGTCGCCAACGGCATCACGAGGGCGTCGTCATCCGCCAAGACACACTCAAATCCTGTGTGCTTTCCGGCCTTGATCACCGTTGATTGATCGTGGCCCTTCTTCACCTCTACAGGCCGACTATTTCATGTCTCTTCCCTTCTTCTTTTCCTTGACGTCCAAGGACCCTTTTTTGGATACTCCCCGTGCCATCGTCTTCCCCGCACCATGTCGGTTCTAAGTCATCTGAAACGAGTCCAACGCCACAATGCCGCGACCCTTCGCCGGTCTCCCCTCGCCGAGATCTCTGGCGCTCTGGGCGACCTCGGCACTCTCCTTCCCTTGATGATTGCACTGGCGTTACAAGGCTCCATTTATCTGGACAGTACACTAGTGTTTTCCGGCATCTTCAATGTCGTGACCGGCGCCGTATTCGGCATCCCGCTCCCTGTCCAGCCGATGAAGGTAAGCACCCATGTGGAACGCTGCTCTCTCTGGAAGTGAACATGCCAACCCAGTAACCCTAGGCCATCGCCGCTGCCGCCATCTCACGCCCCGAGTATGGCAAGATTCAGACTGTCATGGCCGCCGGCCAGTGGGTCAGTCTGGCCGTCCTTGTCATGAGCCTTACCGGCCTGCTCCACTGGGTCACCAGGAACGTTCCTGTCCCCGTCGTCAAGGGCATTCAGCTCGGTGCCGGCCTCTCCCTTGTCATGGCCGCCGGCTCCGGGCTGCTACGCGATCTGGACTGGACGCATCCCGTCGTCGACAACAGACTCTGGGCCCTGGCCGCCTTCCTCGTGCTCATCTTCACCCAGAGGCTCCCGCGTTTCCCCTACGCGCTACTCGTCTTCGTCCTGTCCCTCGTCTTCGCCTTCGTCGCCCTGAAGGAACATGAGCATAACAACGTCCATATCCTCCGCGTGGTCGACCCCTGGGAGCCTCACTGGTTCCACTGGGACCTCAACTGGTTCAAGTACAAGCCGCTGTCTATGGCCATTGGTCAGCTCCCGCTCACCACCCTCAACTCCGTCATCGCTGTCAGCGCCCTCGCCGCCGACCTGCTGCCGGATATGCCCACACCATCGGTGACCGCCGTGGGCACGAGCGTCGGCCTCATGAACCTCATCGGCACGTGGTGGGGTGCCATGCCCGTGTGCCACGGCTCCGGTGGGCTCGCGGCGCAGTACCGTTTCGGGGCGCGCAGCGGCGCGAGCATCATCATGTTAGGCCTGCTCAAGCTAATCCTGGGCGTCGTCTTCGGCAACTCCCTCGTCGACCTGCTCAGGCACTACCCCAAGAGCCTTCTGGGCGTTATGGTCATCGCCGCGGGCCTGGAGCTGGCCAAGGTCGGCCACAGTCTGAATCACGGCGCCTCGGACCTCTGGGAGAGCTCCGTCGGTAACGGGGGCGGCGGCGACGGCGGAGGCATCACGAGGCAGCATCGCACGCTGTCGGACGACGAGAGGACCGAGAGGTGGACGGTCATGCTGATGACTACGGCGGGCATTCTCGCGTTCCGGAATGACGCCATTGGCTTCGTCGCGGGCATGTTGTGTTTCTGGGCGTACCGGCTCTCGGACAGGACGCAGAAGTGGTGGGAGGGCAGGAGATCTCTTACTGGTGGCGAGACTGCGCCGCTCCTGAGATGAACGCGTCACGGCTCTGTTCTGGGAAGGTTCCCGACGAGTCGAGTGTCTGCCTCCTTACCTAACACCTGTGAGATTTACGCAAAGAGTCGTCCATGAAATATATACAATGTACTCGGAACGTCTTTACCTGTTTCGCATCAGATATGCCGATTTATAGATCTTTACGAAGGGTACCCGATCGGGTCCTTGATTCTGCGAGACTCTCTCTCTCTCTCTCTCTCTCTCTCTCTCCAGCGCCTCCTCAAGAGCACGGAAGAATTCATTACACATGGGACCCTCATGTGGGTAGACATTTTCTATCGAGCTCCTCCTTAAGAGTAGCTGCTGTGACATAAACCATAGTTGTGCTCGGTTTGCTGCCGTTAACCTTCACACGCGCTTGCTTGATAGGTTGTTTTATATGGCGGTAGTCTGGCAGGCTTTTCAAATGCATCGGCTTGATATTGACGCATTCGACCGACACATACAATGAACAGAACAAGGGAGACTCAAAGTACCTTGATGGCGATCTCACAGCCTCATATGACTGAACCCTTTCGTACGTCAGACTCTGCACTGTCAGTGGCTGGCATCCCGCGGTAGTACGCGCAAGTGGGATGGCGGTATGGACATTGTCTCCTTCACCGACAGGCCGTTCGCCATTGGGCCCTGACCGAGAGAAGTGGGAACCAAGGTAAGAAAGTTTGGGCGATCTACGCAGGGTGGTGTGCGCGACATTGATCCCATCCCTCTCCCGAGTCGACTAGAGGTGTTTCGGACCTTGACCGAGACGCATCGTGAACACCCTCCCGCTCACCGCAAGACAACTGATCGAACCAGAGCGCCGGGTCCAGGTCTGAACCAACTGACAAGGAGTGCGGAGGCGCATGAAGGGCTCCATCGCAGATGAGTCATCAAATTTCCATCAGTGTCGGGGAGGGGTGTGGCGTTGTGGGAAGCTGCATTGGTGGATGAGCGTTGAGCAATGGTGCTTTCCGTGGCCAGTCGTTGCTTCCCAATTGAATCGAAATGAATGGGTGTATCCGTAATAATAGTAGGCAGACGGCAGGAGGCAGGTAGGCATGATACCTACCGGAGAAAAAAGGGAGGCAGGGACGCAGAGAAGGGGGGACGAGGGAGGGAACGGGCAGAGAGAGGGTCAAGGGACTGGCTGGGTCGGTATCGGTGTCTGGCTGGGCTGGGCTGGGCTGGCCGCTCGCTCCTCCTTTCAAAGGGAAGGAGAGACAGAAAAAGGTACCTGGGTACTTGCGCAGCGCGGGGAAAGGCTAGTCCATGATCCAGGTGAAGCCCACCGAGCGGCCAATCAGCGTCGCGACTTCCTCCGTCGACCTTGCAATCGCGGCAAGAATGACTTGTAATTTTTCTGGCATCTCTCGCATTGTTCGCAGCCTCATCAGGTCCAACCTTGTCGCGACTGACCAAAACGCCTCTCTTGGCTTGCCGACGGCGAAGGAGCTGGTCTGTCCGACTACAGAGCAGCGATGACTTCGTCCAACGCCGGCCAAAATGGCCTGGCGAACCTGCCGACCACGCCGCCGCCCAAGAACAAGACGACGCCAACAACACCCGGCCGACCTGACTCCGACGACCACAACACGACAGAAACCGCGACAGCGACCGCGACCACCGCCGCTGCCGATCACCAACAGCCGCCGTCGCGTGCCGAAGCATTCGATACAGCTCAGCCATCCAACGACGACACGTCGAGCAAACGCCAATCGACGCCGGGGCCAGCCGACACCGTTATGGCCGAAGCCGACGCAGACAGCGCTCCGCCTGCGACAATGTCGCACCCGGCCTCAGCAGCTCACATGGACGCTGGCCCCTTCGCCTCGTCCTCGTCCTTCCCACATACCCCAATTCCGAACATGGACCACGCATACATGATGATGGCGCTTGCGCACATGGCCGGCAATCAGTTGTCCAACCAGATGTCACCGCCCCCGACCGTCACGCCAGCTCAGGTCACCCTCCCCAGCACAATTGGCAACGGCAACGATCCTCTCGTCGCAAGCACACACAACCTCGCCGCCGCGACACAAGGCCTGGAATCCTTCGCCCGTATAGAATTCGCCGACAGTGTTTTCCAGATGACCACGTATGCCGTTATCATCGGCCGTGATCAAAAGGCTCTAATGCAAGCGAAGAGAGACGAGAAGTATCGCAAAAGGGCGGAAGAATACGAACGCGACGGACTGCCACCTCCAGAACCCTTCAATCAAAGGAAATTCAGCAAGTCGTACGTCAGCGAGGAAGGAGGCATGCTGGGTCCCGAATCCGATAGCGAAGGTGACGGTCGACCGGCCAAGCGTCGCAAGACGACCAGCACCGGATCTTCGCAGAAGCAGCCGGAAGAAGACGAGGCAGACGAGAATTTCATCTCAAATCGCCAGTACGTCTCGCACACACCCGGCGCGGCAGCCGTCGATCTCGCTTCATTACGGCCCTCTCCCCATCACGTTCCGTTTATCGGCATCCATTCGCCAGGACCTGACATAGCGAAAAAGACGAAAGCCATATCAAGGGAGCATTTGAAGATCCAGTTCAACAAGGAACAAGGGGTCTTCGAGGCCATCCCGCTCCATAAGAACGGTTTCTTCATTGACGACGTGCACCACAAGGAGGGTGTCGCCGTGCTGCGCAGTGGCGACCAACTACAGATTAAAGACGTCGATTTTCGCTTCGTCATCAACGGTGTGCCGGAAGGACGGACGGGCGCTGAAGAATATCTCGAGGAGGACAAACTCAAGAAGAAGAAGCATCCGACAGGCGGAAAGGAGATGAGCTTCGAGTTTGAGGCGTCACATGGCGACGGCCTGGATGACACAAGCGACTCCTCGCTCAGCTCGCCTGCACCTTCTGACGCGGGCCTGTCTGACATCGGCATGGAAGATGATGAAGCTGAAGGAGACGCTGAAGCCGAGGCAGAAGGTGAGGCCGAACGTGCAGAAGCAGAAGCAGACGAGGCAGAGGCGGCCGAAGCCGAAGCGGCAGAGGCGGCAGCTGAGGCGGCCGAGGCAGCTGAAGCAGCAGAGGCTGATGCCGATGCCGACGCTGATGACGCTGATGCCGAGGGAGAAGCGCACCATGAGTATGGCGAGGAAGCAGAGAATATCCAACCAACCACTGAAGTCAAATCAGAGGAGCAAGAAATGGCACATCTTTTGATGGGAGCAGGAGCACCTTTGGGCTACCCCAACAAGAAGCGAGGGCCTGGCAGGCCACCGAAGAACGGTTTCATGTCCAAACGCGAGCAACGGCTGCTCAAAAAGGCACAACAGGAGATGGCGAAGAAGACATTGCCACAGCCGCCTCCAGGTGAGCCTCCCATTAAGAGAAAGGTTGGGCGCCCACGGAAACATCCCTTACCGGAAGAAGGGGGCGATCGGCCCGAGAAGCGCAAGTATAAGCCTCGGAAGCCCAAGGGCGAAGATGGCGCAGAAGGATCAGACGCCGAAAGGCGGGCCAAGGAGAAGAAGGACAAGAAGGTCCGGCCCAAGTCGCCACCCCTGGAACTCAAGATCGAGGACTACACCGAGGAACAGCTGCAGAAGCCAAACAAGAACTATGGGGTACTCATCGACGAGACGCTCACTGCAGCAGGGCCCGATGGCCTCACGCTCAAACAGATTTACAAACGGATTACTCAAAGATACCCTTGGTTCTACTTCCATACAGAGACCAAGGGCTGGGAATCCAGTGTACGGCACAACCTCATTGGGAACGAGGCCTTCAAGAAGGACGATACGACAGGCTTGTGGTCGAGAGTGCCCGGCGTCGAGCTCGATGCCGGCAAGAAACGCAAGGCCTCGTCGCCAGATCGATCCGTGAGTGCGGGCTACGGTCACTACAGCCACCCGATGTACACTCAGTACGCCCAGCAGCAGCAAGGCCATATGCCCCCCGGCTACCAACACCTGCCGCACAATTACCACGCGCAAGCCTACACAGGGCAACAAGCGCAAGCAGTAGCGAGAACGCCTCAGTACTCGCCCCCAGGCGCGACGCCGACCCCTGGTCAGCCTGCGCCGCCAGTGGCCTCCCAACCAGTTGCGCCGGCAACGCTCCCTGGCTACGGGGCTGCCGCCGCCATTGCTCGGCCTCAAGGCGTCGCAGGACAGCCGTCTACCTACAGTTCACCATATGCGCCAAGACCGCCTCCAACTCACCCGGCCGTCAAGACGGAAGACGGCGCCGCCGCCGCCTCGGCGGCATCAGCACCGCCGCCACCACCACAACCTGCTCCGGCCGCCACCCCTGGAGCACGAACACCACAGATACCCGCTGCTGCACCACAGCAAGCCCGACCCACCCCCACACCGCCAGCGCAAGCCGAACCCCGCCCTGTCATTCAGCCCAGGCTGTTATCCGCTGTCAATGGCCTGAAGAACGGCCTCATTGAAAACCTAAAGAAGGCCAAGAACCCCAAGGCCGAAGCCATCGTCATGTCCGCCCTCAACCGCTGTCTGGGGCTCAAGAGCACGGCCACAGAAAACCAGACGATGGAGGATATCTGCATGAAGGGCATACAGAAGCTCCTAGACGGCTTCTCCACGCGGAGCAATACACCCGGCTCGGGAGGCACGCCAACCCCGACTGGGCCCAGTAGCATTTTCGACCCCAAGGTCTTCAACGCGCTGGTCGGCTTCAAGAATGTCTCGTCGAACGCCCTCAAGGTCAGGATTGGCGAGGGTACAGCCGAAGCAGTGACTCTGTCTGCCATTGACCGGGTACTGGGTCTGGCAGACGCGAGCATCGTGCCGCCGCCCGCGGAAGCCAGCACGTCGGGATCGCCAGCGGCGGGCTTTGAGGGGATCGAGTTGCATTTGATGAACTCGGTGAAGCAACTCTTGCTAGGTCTCAACCAGAAGTTACACGGAACATAGATTACCGAGATGCACATGTCATTATTATGTATGGGCAAAAAAGGTGAGGAGGAACAAAAAATGATACATCTCAGCCAGCGTTCGCTCTGTTGGCGCTTAGCGCTCTAATGAGGAAGGTACTGGTTGGTTTCGGGAAGGATATGATGATGAACCAGCGAAAAAAAAAGCAGTGTGTCTACTACTACCCATTCTCGTTTGGCACCTAAGAATACAAAAACTCGTTTTCAGACACGTTTGCATGATGAGGAATGTGGTCCTGATTGGTGTTCAATGTGTCTCACTTCATAGGACATGGTTATAACACGCGAGCGCCTCGGTGGCCATCAAAGGGGACGAAAAGGAGGATGTAGAAGTATGCTGAAGCTGTCCTCGATTTACCAGGCTCCCCATCATAAATACCTATGAACCGGAGCCTCGCTGCTTGAACGTAACCGCCGTGCCCTTGAAGTCTATGGTGCGTAGGTGTCAAGGATAGTCTTTATGAAGTCAGACTAATCCAAATATCTAGTGCAAGTTGCCACGCAGGCTTAGCTAGACCCGGAAGATTGGGGAGATGTAGCCGAAGACATGAGGATAGACTGTTTTAAGAGCGTCCTGGCTCGGAATGATGCCCGGACCTTGATATCGAGTCCAGAAGATATGCTCACCAAGTTTGATGAACCTGCACCGCTTTGCGATCTTGACGGTTGCGGGTGGTCTATTCCACTCAGCCGTGATCGAGAGTTGTATTTCTCCCGTCTAGAAAATGCCTTGAGGAAGTTCGCCATAGCATTGCCGCTCCTTCTGAGCTTCGCATTCTTGCAGAGTACGTGGGTGCATTGACTGGCCCCGGGATGGGACAGACCAAGTGTACGTACCAGGCCATGTTCTGGACCGGGGCGGGCGCTGAGACGGATGATTCGATTGATGCTACGGTCAAGAAACCTCACGAGCTGACAGTTGACGGTTGTTGGGAGGTTGCTGGTGGATGGGAATCTGGGCATGGCGTTGAGAGTTTCTTTTTGTTGGTATACGGTAGGTATGCTTTAGGGGAGGTGGTCACGTGATATTTACATAACATACTGCCTCCCTTAGCAGTATCCACCTCACCACTAGTATACTACCTAAAAGTCTAGATTCACTTTATAACTAACTAATATAATAAGTAATAACTATATTTTATATTATAATTTATTACGTAATCTATAAGATATCCCTTTTATATAATTTAACTAATACTAATATGCGGCCTGTTGAAACGCTATACAGGGCAAGAAAAGGGTAGGCGGGGCGGGGCTCACCGTAGTCCGGCTAGTAGAAATGTATACCACGAATGACTTGCGAAAGTCAGAGGGTCATGTAGGTCGAGCACAGCAGCAAGTGGACTGAGTAAATTGATAAGATTTTCTCGTGATCAAGTCGCCCGTCTAAAGATGTGGTGCTATGGAGTGAAGCTGGCGGTATACTTTATGGACGAGGCGTGAAGGTACCGGTAACGTAGGATAGTGTGGCGAGACACCTGCCCCAATATGGGTCGATCTGTCGCTTAGTCATAACTACGCGATGGAAAGCTCGGAATGCTCACATACTGCCTCTCCCGA